AAAATGAGAACCAAGATACATCATGTACAGGTACAAGCACCCAAAGATAAATGTAAATGTATTGTATACCTAAAATGTACCAATAAAAGAATTTAAGAAAAAGAAAAGAAATTAATCCCACCCATTATGGTAATATTATCTGCCTTTATTGTAAAGGGACGAGCCAGCAAAACCAACCTTAGCTTTGGAATATACGTATGGAAGAAGAGCAAAAGGACACAATACAGTGAGTATCTTCATAATGATACTGCAATGCCATCTATGAGGAATTAGTAACGATGGCTTTGTTTTACGTTTTCCATTTTATCTACAGTCAGTAAGCATATGCAGTTGTACACTTCAGAGCCGTGTGCTATTAAGCCTCAAATGCAATCCAGCTGATATGAAGCCAATTTAAACTGTGAAAACATTTCAGCTTTCTCATTTGTTACATCTTAAAATGCTGAAATAAGATTCCTTTGTGACTTCATCTTACAATTCCTTGGCCTGCTTACATTCTGTTAATGTGACTTTTGCTGTTTTTCAAATGAGAATAATCTTGTGAGTTACCTTCTGTCTCTAAAAATCTGCTGAAAATATGGGTTTGACCTTTGAAATATTTATGAGAATATACTTTTCAAAATCTATATTATTTGCATTTTTAAAAAATACAGGGCTGGGAATATAGAACACTTGTATAGCAGGCACAAGTCCATGAATTCAATCCCCAGTACAAAAAAAAAGTAGTACTGAGACCACAGGCTCTATTTTCCTATTTTCACTTTAATCTCTTTTCAGAGGAATATTAGAAACTATTCAGGATAGAGGGAGAGGTTATAATAGTGTGAAGGGGTAGGGTAGGCAATTCCTGTGTAGATTCTTTCTCGGAATCCTCACATGAAAAGGAGTCGTTTCTTAAAGTTAGTTCTGTGGAAGAACAGTCTAGAACACAGGGTTCCACTACTCCTATAACAAAGGCAAATTTTCATAGATTGATCTCCTTGAAATGTTTGCTTATTAGACAATGTATAAAGAAAATTAAAACTGCCTATTGTTTCCTAGAGCCACCAACAAAAGTTGACTATTAAAAATGTGAAATTAAAAAGAAAAATATTAATAATATTGAGATCCAGGATAACTTCGTTATTGTGACTCATTTGAATTTTGACATGAGTAATAAGCCTAGAAACGTAATTATCCTTTTTGTTGGAAACTTTGAAACAGATTTTATAAGCTTAACTTTTGAAAAAAGCTCTAAAAACTTTTTCATGAAATTGTGAATCGAAGGAGATTTTTCCAGTGTGATGATTTCTCCCACGAACATTAATGATTCAAATATAATGAAATAATTTTAGAGATTATGAGGTGAGAGCTTTTAAAAATACAAAATGATATATTCATCTAAAACTTGCTTTATAGAATAAGCCAGACTGAAAGACAAGTATCCCATGTTCTCTCTTATAAGTGGAATCTAAGGTAAACAAACAAACTAACAAAAACCAAAAAAGAAAAAAGACAACATGAACGTAGAAGGGAGACTGTTAGAAAAGAGGAAGAGGTTCAGGGAGGGAGAGAAGGGAAGGCAAGGGAAAGTAATAGGGGAGGTGGATATGATCGAGGCATGTTAAATGCATGCAGTGAAAATGTCTACAATGAAACTTATTCTCTATAGTTAATATAAATAAATAAACTTTTTTTTTTGGTACCAGGGATCGAACTTAGGACCTTGCGCTTGTGAGGCAGACTCACAGCGCCATTGAGCTAAATCCCAGGCCCTAAATAGATTTGTTTTAATGAGCATCTGTCTGCCAGGTTCATGGTAGCAGATAACATAAAAATGCATATGATTCATTTTCTCCTGTTTTTCTTTTTCTCTAAACTTTATATCATTAAGAGGGCTTTTAAAATTTATACTGGAAGCTTTATGTCTTTCTCAGATTCAGTGTTCCCTGAGAGTTCTAAGCAGAAGCACTTTGTGAGATCCTTATGTAATTTTCGTGGCCTAACAGCTTCTCACCATCAGGCTAGAGGCATAGGTATCATTAGTTTGCAGTCTGGTAAGGCATTCATGGATTGGTGGGTCTTATTCTTCAATTACTTGGCTGTCCAGCCCTGCCCATCTTCTGTCAGTTTAAGGTCTGAGGAGAACAGCAGTCAGCCCTGACGTGTCCCCCCACCTACACATTGCACTGGCAGTGGAGCCTGTCAGATTTCCATGGGAATCAAGCAGAGATTACCTGCTTTGACTTTTGCTCACTGCAGCCCAGACTGCCACCATTTGCCCCTTTTCCTCAAGCCTTAACTGTATATCTACTTTATCATGTGAGCTTTTGTCTTCCTAGACCAGGATGTTGTCCTACTTGACTGTTTTATCTCTATCTAGAACACCAACTGTGTTCAACTGGTTCATTTTATTTAAAATTTAAGTGTATTTTACATGTGATATTTGCAAAATTGGAGCACTGTGTGTATGTCTTCTACTAAGGTATTGCCAGAAGTGGCGTTTCTGTATAAGCATAGACAATGTATCTTAATTTTTTTTTTTTTTTTGGTACCAGGGATCAAACTCAGGTCCTTGCGCTTGTGAGGCAGGCGGCGGAACCACTGAGCTAAATCCCCGGCCCTAGACAATGTATCTTACTGTTTTATCTTTATTTTGTGGAATAGGAGTTTTGGTGTGTTTTGAGGGTTGGAGTAGAGAAAGGAGAATGTTTGACTGTGAAGAAAGAGTTGATTGAAGGCCGGGGATTCTGCTGCCTGCCTCACAAGCGCAAGGTACCGAGTTCAATCCCCAGTACCAAAAAGAAAAAGAAAAAGTTGATTGAGGATTGCAATATTTTGTACCTAGAATTATTACTGGCGGGTTCTAATGAGGTATAAGTAGTAGTTAAAATTAAAAAATTAAAATTTAAAATTAAAAAGAGCTTTTTTTTCAGCCAAAAGATATTGCTCATTTTTGGGAACTGGGTGGAGGAACCTCTTTATTGGACTTAATCAGCATACCAATCACAAGTGACACTTTGCGGTAAGTGAGCCCAGGTCAGGAAAGCTGTAAGTATCCAGGAGCAGCCACAGGGGAACTATGTGTAGGCTTTTGTGAGTCATAACTTGAGGCGACAGTTTGATGTTGCTGAAGGTTTGTCCCCACTTCCTTTCTGTGTGCTTAACCTATAATGCTTTCAAAGAGGCTTTGAAGAAACCAAAGTTGGCATTCCCAGTAGTGACATATTTTGCAAGCCTGCTAACAACAATAAAAAAAGTAAAAAAAATACTTGGGTGATGAATTCATTTACAAAAATAAATTTGGGAAGTTAATTCTTTGCACTGCCCATCTCAGTGTGAGTTAATTCAGCTCTGAGTTTTTTCTTCAGAAGGATAGTGTCTCCCTTTGAATTTCATGTGAATTAACATCTGAGTTTCATCCAAGGAAGACCATGTATTGGAATGGAAAGAAAGTTTCTCTGTTTGCTGACCTTAAAGAACTGGGACCTAGGAGAAAACCTCAAACCCTTTGGGGTGTTTTTCTGCCAGTGACACCCACATGTTGGTCAAATCAGATGTGGAAAATTGTGACATTTCTCACAATGTTCCTGGGAACCAATCTTAGCCAAGAAAAACATGAATTTTAAACTCTGAAGGATCTTATCCTTGTCAGAAATTAACACAAACCATTCCTGCTGCCTGGACTAGAGACAAAGGGTTTGGCAAGTGTTTGTTAAATTTCAGGCATTAAGATCCTTAGTGTATGGAATTATTTCTTGTTAGCAGGACAAGTGTTTTTCCAGAGCTAGCTGGATGCAGATAATGTTGGCTTTATTTGTCCAGAGATTTTTCTTCTTCTAGTGAAATATAATTTACTTTATTTTATTTTATTTCTCACAAACAAATGTATCTTCATAAAGAAAACTTGGAGAGTATTTGGAGAGTTACTGAAAATACAAAGAAAGTAAAAGCACCCAGAATCACATAAAAAGTAACCACTATTAACATGTTGGACTATGTCTTCCAGTCTTTTAAGTGTTTATAAATAGACTTTATATAAATTTGGCATATTTTATATACACATTTATATCTTGCTGTTTTACTTACAAGTACCCTTTCCCTATGATACTAGTTTTTAGAAACATGAACTTTAACAGCAACATAGTCTTTTGTTTTTTTCCAGTACTGGGGATCGAACTCGGGACCTTGTGCTTGTGAGGCAAGCGTGGTGCCACTGTGCTACATCCCCAGAAGCAGCATAGTTTTTCATTTGTCTCTCTGTAATGGAGACAAGCAGAGCTTCCTGGGACCTAGGGTGCTTCCAGGTGGTGTGGCTGAGGAGATTTGGTGAGAGTGGGGAGGAACTGAAGGAATCCCAGCTGCTACTTGGCATGGCCAGAAGCAGAAAGGATGAAGACACAGAGCCTGCTCCAAACTGGGTCATGAGTTGGCACTACTACTGGCCCTGACTTGTTCCATGAACCCAGTCCCCTTCTCTAGACCCAAGACCATCTTGGGCCTGATAGGTTTACGGGAATTCTGGGTTCTGCAGAAAGCCCTATCTTTCTACAGCTTCCTTACTACTTTATGAGGTCTCGGCCTTCCTTTTCCTGGAACTGTGGGCAGCTGGAGCCAGCTTGGGGCCAGAGGAGGAGCCTGGCTAAGGGGGAACACAAGGAAAGGCTGCTGCAGGCCTGGCCCAAAGTAGACTGCTTGCCAAGTGGTCAGAGGATTCGTGGAAAACATTCACTCTTAATGCAGTTGCAGGTCTCAAGAGTGTTTTTTGGATTGGAGTTAGTTTGACACATAATTTTCTTGTGTTGGACAAAGCCCAGCAACTTGAGGAAATAGTATATTGGCAAATATTACTAGATGCTTTCTGTCTTTGAAGTAACTGTTCATAAAATTATGAATGCTTTGAACATTTCCACAGACTTTGGATGATTTGTAATAGAACATTTCCTGTGGTATGATTTCCTGTTTTAAGAGATATTTTTTGTTTCTTTTTAATCCGGTGTGGTGGCACATGCTTGTCATCCCAGGACTTTGGGAAGCTGAGGCAGAAGGATCACAAATTTAAGCCCAGGCTGGGCAATTTAGCAACTTAGTGAGACTCTGTCTTAAAATGAAAAAAGAAAATAAAAAAAGAACTGGGGATGTAGCTCAGCACAAAGGCCTTCCAGTCAATCCTCACTACTGGGAAAAACATTTAAAAGTGAGTTTGTTTGGTTTTTTAAAATCTTTTTTAGTTGTCATTTGCTATGAAATAAGTAAAAAGTAACACTAGTATTTCCAAAGTATTGGGAAACAAAAATTTTAATCTTAGAAAATCATTGAGTAATCCATTTCTCTTTTGCTTAAAACAAAGGTTTTTTTTGCTTTTTGTTTTTTTGGTACCGGGGATCAAACTCTAGACCTTCCGTTTGCGAGGCAGGTGGCAGAACCACTGAGCTAAATCCCTGGCCCAACAAAGTTATTTTTTATTTTAATAAGTAAATTTTTATGTCATTTACATTTTACCACAATAAAAAGTTAAAACCATAGTATTAAAAAATATATAACCATATTAAACTCTGAAAATAAAATCAGTTTCTTTACTACTGAAAAATGTATCTTTTTTTTTTTTCTGGTATGTGGAATTAAACTCGGGACCTTGCGCATACCAGGCAGGCATGGCGTCACTGAGCTACATCCCCAGCCCTGAAAATATACCTGTTTTACTATTTTATAGTTAAACTATTTCTAAGCTTATTAAACTGACATAAAAATATTTGGTTAGACAGTGTAATAATACACTAATTTTATAAAAAAATTTTAATAATTAATGTCTAAGAGATTACTTTCTAAATTTAGACCAACTGTACGGAATTTAGTTACTGTTTTGCATAAATTACACAAAATAGCAGGTTTGCTTGACCTAAGCAAAATAACTAAATAACATATAATTTTTTGCTATGTCTATTACCAGAATATTTGCCCTGTTGACCAAAAACATGTTGACCCATGATTATGCTTCTACATACTTATTATGACCATTTTCTAAAATATTCCTAGATTTATGTATTTTTTTTATTGTGGAAAATTATACATAACAAATGTTATTATTGTCATTTGTATGTGTAGCATTCAGTGCTATTAAGTATATTCACATTGTTGTGCAACCATCACCACTATCCATGTACAGAACTTTTGTACTTTTTCATCTTCCCAAACTGAGGCTCTCTATTAAACAGTAGCTTCCTGTATCCCTCCTCCAATTCCTGCAGCCATTGTTCTACCCCCTATCTCTGTGAATTTGACCACTCAACTACCTCATGTATATGAGATCATATAATATATATCTTTTTGTTATTGGCTTATTTCACTTAACATAATGTCTTCAAGATACATCCAGGTTGTAGCACGTTCAAAATTCCTTCCTTTATAAGGCTAATGTTCTTTTGTATATATATATACTACATTTCGTTTATCCTTTAATCCATCCATGGACAGTTGGGCTGTTTCTGCCTTTTGACTATTATAAGTAATGTTACTAAGCATGTTGGTATAAGCATATCTGTTTAAATCATAGCTTCCCATTTTGGGGTATGGGCCCAGAAATAGAATCACTGAATCATATGGTAATTCTATGTTTAATTTCTTGAGGAACTGCCATGCTGTTTTCCACAGCATCCATACCATTTTGTATTCCCACCAGGAATGTACAAGGGGTTCAGTGTCCTCGGCGATTCATGTTATTTTCTGGCATTTTTATTCCTTCTAGCCTTTCTAATGGACAAAAGGGCATGCTTTCCTTGTGGTTTTGGATTACATTTTCTAATAATTAGTGGTGTTAAACATCTTTTCATGTACTTATAGGCCATCTGTATATCTTCTTTGGAAAAATGTATATTTGAGTTCTCTGACCATTTTTAAGGGTTTTGTTCTTTTGGTTTTTTGTTTGTTTGGCTTTTTTGCCAAGTGCAGATATATGTTTGATGTGCATGAACAGAGTACAAATGGATGTGATGAAGGACATGGCATATCTATCTGGTAGTCATAGGTATGCTTTCGGGGAGGCAGAATGGTATAGAAGAGAGACACGTGCCTTTGGATCTAAACACTAGCTCTACAGCTTACTAATTATATAAGTCGTGATCAGTCTTCAGTTCCATAAAATAAACATCATAACATCTTCTAGAAAGGATTGTTGTAAAAATTAAATAAGTTGGATAGTTTCCTAGCAAGGCCCATCAGTAAATCTATTCCCTTCCTCATTTGATTGTGTTGTGTTGCTGCTGCCACTCTTATTAGCATTTTTGCTTCCTTTCTTTGGAGCACATGATAAAATTGGATGTAAACATAGCACTGTTAGACCCAAATGCTTGCAGCTTATTTATTTAAACGGGATTATTTTTAGTTCAAACAGAAACTTCAGTTCCATTATTGATTGTAATACTGAAATATCACTAGAGAAAAGCAGTAAGGCTGTAACTTTGGTCTTTTCTTAATCTTAGAATAATGCTGTGGTTTCTTTAAATACCCTTAAACTATAATGTTGTTATTTTTGGATAAATTTCAGTACTCTGTGTTCAAAATGGTCATTATTTTGAGGCTTTTTTTTTGGCTGGTGTTTTTATTTCTTTAGGACATTTTCTATTGTTCTTATTTTGGATCTTTCAAAACCTAATGACCTTTGGCCCACCATGGAAAATCTGTTGCAAGCCACAAGAAGCCATGTAGATAAAGTGATAATGAAACTGGGAAGGACAAATTCTAAAGCAGCTTCTGAAATGAGACAGAAGATATGGAGTAAGATGCAGAAGGACCATCCAGTGAGTTACTGTTGGTCCTGTTCCTGAAACCCTCAACCCCATATATAGTTAAGATAAAATCACAAATAACTTCTTTAGATTTTTATTTATGCATGACTTGACATTCACTTGATGTAGATGAACCTGTTCACTGGAAAATTATAGCAATTTAAAAAAACTTCAGTAAGAGCAAAACAAGGGAAAAGATTTCTTATGTCTTCTTGTTAGACATCTACTGTGATTGTTATGGCATATTACTCCAATCAAAAGAAACAGAATTTTAAAGTCATAGTTTGATATTGATTTTATAATCTCTTAAAAATGAAGATAAAAAGCCAGGCTATACAAAAGTCATCTGGAAAAAACTAGATGAAGCTACAAATTTAAGCAAGGAGTACAGTTTAACAGCTTTCACTGTCACTCTATATTTTATGTTCATTTGGTGTCTGTCACATATTCAGCATCTCTCGATCATCTGACAACTAATTATAAAGTAGCTGTGATAGTAACACAAGTTCTTTAAATACAGTTGTGAATATCATCATCTAGGAAACTAAGAGCAACATTTTATATTGCCCATGCTATTGAAACAGTTAACATAAAATAGAAAAAAAATCCTGAAAGATGATGTGTTGTATAAGAAAACGAAAGGGCAGACCAAGGAAAAGGATAAATATCAGTAATTTAAGAAATTGCCATTTCTAGTTTTATACTGAAGAAATATAGATTGGTAAATTAAAGTTAATATTGGAATATTGGAGCAAATTCTATTATAAGCCAACAAGAGACTTAAAATGGTATATTCTTGGAAGTAAACAAATTACTGAGCCACATAATGATAAACAATTATAATAAATCAATAAAATACATTTATTAACAGGATCGTGAATTAATTGACCCATTTCCCATACCTCTGGTCATAATCGGAAGTAAATATGATATTTTTCAGGTAAGCTCTTTGACTTTTAGCTGAATTTGTTGGATGGGCACAGCTGTGCTCAATGGGGGAGGTATGAAAATGATAAAATAAAAATCGCTCTGAAAGGGATGGGCTAAGGAGTCACACATCTTAAAGGTTTTAGAAACAAAGATATACTTGGGACACAGAAAATTGGTTAAGTAAATAAATACAATGGTCAGAATGGGGATAAAACAGAAGATTTAGAAAATGAATCTTTAACCACTGAGGGATAGAACTTACTTCGCAACTTTTAAATTGAAGAAAGTAGTAAATTAGTTTCTTCTTATCTTTGCTTGTCAGAGAATCCTTAGGGTATTTCACACTATAAAATGTGTGCATATATCTGAATTCTGTTGAGCTAAGTGTTTAAACAAAGAAAAGATCTGATCGCTGTAGCTCTAAAAGACTGAAGCTCTTGTTCAGTCTCTGTAGAAACAAATATCAAGGTGATGGAATCCTACTCCTCCAGGTGGATTTTAAATAATAAGAAAGAATCTCTTTCTACATTTAATTTGCTTCTTACTGCTACAGATGTTTAGTTTTCTCCCCTTTTTCCCAAACCTTTTTCTATGATATTTCTACAGGATTTTGACTCTGAGAAGAGAAAAGCAATATGCAAGACACTTCGATTTGTCGCACATTATTATGGAGCATCATTGATGGTTTGTATATTTTCTATCCCTTGGGCTTAGAGAGTAACAAATTTGGAAAAATTAGCAACTTGATGCATGACTGGGAATAATAAATGCTTTTAATAATGTACTTCATCCCCTCCTTTCTCTTCCCACTACCAAAGACCTCCTCTTATAGAGTACAGGATAATGTATATATGGACTGCAGTCTGCTACATGACCTCCCCTTTCGTGAGAGCAAAGTTGTAAAATTTTCATATCCATAAAGCCTAATCAGATTTACAGAGATAAAGTGACTCCATGTTTATTCACTTCAAGTTTCCTGTTAAGACTTCATCTGGGGCAGGGTTGTGGCTTAGTGGCAATGTGCTTGCCTAGCATGTGCAAGACTCTGCCTGGGTTCATGTTCTTGCTGACTCTAAAAGAGTGCAGTTTGTTGCAGAGGTTAAAAACATGAACTCTGTTGTAATGCTTCCTGCCTTCAAATGTACTGGCCTGTGATTTTAGGCAAGTCACTTAAGTCAACTCTTTGCTAAAATGAATAAAAATAATACTTTCTTCCTGGGATTCTGGTGAGGTTTAACAGGAAGTACATGTGCAACATTTAGCACAGGGCCCAAAACAAGTAGTAATAAATGTTGGTTATTGTAATTATTATTATCATTAGCTCCCATAGAAGGACCAAATTTACTGGATATCCTTTAAATAAGATACATAAAAGCATTTTTATTAAAAAATACTTCCTTCACATTTGAATAATTATTTAATGGTTTCTTTTCCTCCAAATCAGAGAAACTTAGAGACACCATGGTCCAGCCCCTTGCCTTCATGGCTAGAATATTCCAACTAGAAACACTATGTATAATATATATTTTCAAATTTTATACTTTTTTCTAGACAAATTTCATTATGTATTTTCTTAAAATCATTGCCTTTTATGTTTGAATTCTATTTATTTATATATTAGGTTGACAACACTTTAGAAAATATTCTTTATTTTGAAAAGACTCAACAGAGATAATTTATATAAGGAAAAACTTTCTAATACTATTATGGTCTGAACGTGGAATGAGTTGCATTGGGGAATATTAAGTACCTAGACCCTGAGTTTGTTCCAGCAGGAGGTCTACAGCTGTATGTGAAGGCTGTTTTCAAGGTGATGAATTCAACAGATGGAGTTGGGTTAGAAAAATCTATAATGGTCCCTCAACCCTATATTCTAGGAAATGGATTTGCGATTAGGTTCTTTTTCCTATCACATATAATAAAATAAATATATTTAATAAAATTATCTAGCTACTCAGGAGGCTGAGGCAGGAGGATCACAAACTTGAGGCCAGCCTGGTCAACTTAATGAAGTCCTACCTCAGAGTAAAATTTTTTTAAAAAGTGCTGAGGATGTAGCTCAGTGGTAGAACACTTGCCTAGCTTGTGTGAGGCCCTGGATTTAATTCCCAGTACCACAAAAATTAATAAATTTTTGAAAAATTGAATTATATAAAATTTAAATTAAGAGTATAATTAATATTAATCATAAATATAGAAATATAATTAAGTGGGGCAATTATATTTTTAATTTAATGAAAGTTTTCTGTGTACATTTTAAAACATTTATTAGAAGCATCAACATTATTTTGATGCTTTCTTTTAAATAAATGTATCAGGTCTTATATATTTACTAAGTGTTCTACTTTGGATACTGTCCCCGGGAACCTGTTCTTAGTCCAGAATGAAGCTTATCTTGTGGAATTGCAGTTGGAACCAGAAAATTCATATTTTTGCTTTATTTTATATTTCATTTCAGTTTGATTGCTTTTTTTACTTCTGTACATCTTAGCCATTCTGATTTGGCTGTGAATGACTTGGTATCTTCAAAAATTGAATCTCAATGTAAAAGATTTGTTGGGTAAGCCAGGTGTATGCCTGTAATCTCAGAGACTGGGGAGGCTAAAGTGGGAGAGTCGTGCAATTTAGCTAGACTCCATCTCTAAATAAAAAAATAATAAAATAAAATAAAAAGGGCTGGTTATGTACCTCTGTGCAAAGGCCCTGAGTTCAATCTCTTGTACCACAAACACACACACACACACACAAATTTGTAGGCAGAAAGCAACAATTCAGGCTATTAAAGTATTTAAGTGGTAGAGGCATGCCTCAAATTGCTCAGGTCTTTAGAAAACATCTGGAAAAAACTATAAAAATTAAGGCCAAGGTTGTTGATTTCTTTTTTTCTGGTAACAGGGATCGAACTTGAGTCCTTGTGCTTGCACATCAGGCGGCGAAACCACTGAGCTAAATCCCAGGCCCCAGACCTACTTTTTTTTTGGTACCAGGGATCAAACTTAGGTCCTTGCGCTTGCGAGGCAGGCTGCGGAACCACTGAGCTAAATCTCTGGCCCACTTTCATTATTTAATGATGCGTTTAGGCAAAACCACGAACAAGCCATTTGAAACAAGATTCTCTACATTGCCATCTGTAGCAATGTTATTTCTATATATGTAATGAAAGGGCTAAATAGCAGTGTTAACTCTTAATTTCTTATTTGAATCCATGGAATCATGCCTGTAAGACCAAGCCAAACATTTGTAACAAACTCCCTAATAAATATAAAGAAGTCAAAAAAAAAAATTTGTAGGATAACTTAAGCTTTTCACCTGATGTCAGAACTTAATTATTAATATCTACAAAAGTGTTGTGGTGGTTATTGTTCTACTAATATTCTACCAGTGCGGGTATTCAGTAGCTTAATTTTTCAAGCTCCAAAGGGAATTCAAAAGAAGTTAAATAATGTTAGTGAGTGTCAGCGTTGTACCAGTCTGCAGCTCCCGTATTGACTGATTTGAAGGCTGCAATATGTCCTTGGATGTAAAAGTTATTTTTGACATATATGTCTCTTATTTTCTAACCAAGCCATGTATTTTGGGAATTGTTCTTTTAAACCATACTAAGTATGTTTACATACATACACACACACACACACACACACATATGCATGCATATCATAAGCATATGTAGACCTATACATTTTTTAAAAATTTTTGACCGTGATTATAATCTGTTTGAGTTATTGAAATGATTCTTCCACAAACAAGTCTTTTCCACATCATACACTCATGACATTTGAAGAATGAGTTAAACTTGCCAAAATTTCTTTGCTCAGGTTTTATTTTGTCTGCTCATTCTATGTGTTGGGCAAATAAAGCATAATTCTTTCTGCAATCATCCTTGTTCAAGGCCATTTTTATTGACTTGTTGATTAGAAAGCAGAGCATATAACTTATTCTCCTGAGTTTTGTCTTGTTTTATGTTTTGTTTTTGTAAAGTTTACCAGTAAATCAGAAGCTCTATTACTAAAAATACGTGGCGTCATCAACCAGTTGGCATTTGGGATTGATAAAAGGTACTGCTAAAATTTTTAAATTTCATTTTATTTGCTAATATTACCTCATCTGATTATTATCCCCAAAATTCTTTTGTTTCTTGAGCAAGAAAGTGCCCCAGAAGGCTATTCTTAAAGGGATAATTACAGACTATTTCCTGCTTTTCATTTTGTTTAAATATTTGTGAAATTTTGCAAATAAAATGTCAAATGTTAGTTTGAGACTAGAATAAAATACTTACTTACTGATTTCTTTTACTTATTTCCCCCCATATTAGGAGCTTTTCCTGTATTATCACTTTTTTATGTTAATTTGAAATAGAACTAAAACTTTTAATATGTATCATTCTTAGCCTTGCTATTTCTCTTGGTTTGGAATTAAGGTAATATGGGCGCTATGACATTTTTTCCTCTTTAAAACCTTTATTATGCTATACTTTAATTTTTGAAATCACTATAATTGATATTCACTTGTTCATTTGGGGCAATTTTTCTCATCAGTAGCTAGATATAAAACTTGGCTCTCATGTTTATAGTGTAGAGCATATTCGATTGCTAAACTAAATTAGAATCTTTTTTCTTCTCTGTGTAGCAAATCGATATGTGTGGATCAGAATAAACCACTGTTTATCACAGCAGGATTGGATTCTTTATGTCAGATAGGTTGGTGAACTTATTAAGATTGCTCAATCTTTTTTAATTGCTTATTGATTTTATCCTTCTCCATGTTCACTTCATCTCTAACATACCACTTTTACTGGTTTCACTGTTATTGCAATATTTTATATGTATTTATTTGTATATCTAGTATTGATGCGAAATGTATCACATTGATATATTTGTGCTTGAAGGGATGTTACCACATAAAAGACTCATTTCTGATCTCTATTCCACAAAATATTTGCATGTATTTCCTTTCCCTCAATGATTTCCAGGTACTTTTAAATTTTAGCTCCTTGAGTTTAGAAGAAACCAGTATAGTCAGGAAATTCACAGGTACATGTTATGAGCAATGATAAACATATGAGATTGAAGTGATAGAGTAAACCAAAAAGAACACAGTTGTATCAATGAGATATGCCTTAATTTTTCATTATAAAAAATAGCTTGCTTTAGGGCTGGGGATTTAGCTCAGTGGTACTGCCACCTGCCTCACAAGCGCTAGGTCCCGAGTTCAATCCCTGGTACCAAAAAAAAAAAAAGCTTGCTTTAGTCAGTGGATGTACTTCCTAAACTCGGATTCCATAGTCTTCTGCATCAAAGGGTACTTTTTAGTCAGTGGATGTACTTCCTAAACTCAGATTCCATAGCCTTCTGCATCAAAGGGTACTTTTAGAGCTATTTTCTTTGTGAAGATCTTTGAGCCTAGCAATTCATTATACTCTTGGGGTAGCATGATTTTGATTTTAGCACACTTACAGGCGGTAGTTTTCTATTTCCCATCCTCTATTATTACTCTTACAAGCTAAAGGTTACTTGACTTCAAATGTAAAGATATTTGTAATGAGATTATAGATTGAAGTATAGTGAAAGGAATAGTGGTGGTTTTGTTTAATGAGCAGTCATGGAGTCTGATTTTTGTAATTGTCATTAGTGCCAACCTAATTTCAGTAGCAAGGAGAATTTCTGGGTGTAGTGATAGATAATGCTAATGGAATTCTTTTACCCATGTGAATAGGATGTCAGAAAAGGGTTGATAATTACTGAATTTAAAAATCATGGAGCTTAGACCTCATCAAAATGTAAAACTTTTGCTCTGTGAAAGCCCATGTGGAGAAGATGAAAAGACATGCTACAGTCTGGAAGAAATTATTTTTGAACCATGTATCTGTCAAAAGACTAGAATTTAGAATCTATTAAAGAACTCAGCAACAACAAAAACCCAAACAATCCACTTAAAAATGGTCCTAATATACTAAATGAGAAAAAGCCAGTCATGGAAGGTTGCATACATTATGATTACACAAAATTTTTCTAATGATTAGAGGACAGATTAGTTGTCCGAGGGTGGGAACAGGACTCTGGATGGGGAAGTAAAGGGAGAAGTTAGAAAGGAAGAGTATGTGTCTATACAAGGGCACCACAGGCATCCTTGTGGTGGTGGAATTGCTCATTGTATCTGAACCATGGTAGTAAATATGTGGCCCTATGCAGGTGATAAGATTGTATGCAAAGGAGTTTGGCAAAGATCAGTAGAATGTATCAGTGCCTTTCCCACCAAAGTGTCGAGGCCCTGGATGATCATCACTGAAAAAGTTTTGGTGAATAATATAGACAATGGAAAAAGATAAACATAAAGATAATAAACCTCAGGTTACAGATTGAAAATTGGCAGAAAGTAACAGCAAATTTTGTAATTTTTCAAATTAAATTATACAAGTGTGCTGGGGGTGTAACTTAGCAGTAGAGCACTTGCCTAGCATTCAGGTGGCCCTGGAGTCCTTAACACAAGAAGGGGGGGGGGGCAGAGGAAGAGGAGAGAGAGAGAGAAGAGAGAGAAAAGAAAGAAAAGAGAAAGAAGAAAGGAAGGAAGGAAAGAAAAGAGAAAACCAGAAAGAAAGAAAAGAGAGAAAGAAAGGAAGGAAGGAAGAAAAGAAGGGGAGACAGAGAAAGAGGCAGGCAAATAAATAATACAAGCAATACATGAATACATTCTTGTAAAAAGTTAAAATAATACATATAAGGAACAAATCTGTTATGTCTCTCTGGTTTTTGTGCATTTATATACATGTGTGTGATGTTGAAAAAACATTTTTAACATAATTTTATTAGTCTGTAGCTACCATTTTAGAATTTTTTTTTGATTGTACATTAATATGTTTTCCATATTAATGTTTCATATAGGTCTATTTGTTATTTTATCCACTGGATAGTGTTACAAAGCAAGGTTTTGCGTAGTAATTTGTTTCATTATTAACTATTGGTGGACATTTGGGTTGTGGTCAATTTTACATAATACAAATGATGCTGTGGTGTTACATCCTTAATGCATATATGAGGGAATTGCTAGAGTAAAAACTAAAGCCTGGAATTAATGTTAAGAAGATATAAGTATAGCAGTAGAATGTGAAAAATGAGAATTAGAGCTTACCCATTACTCCTCAGTTCTTCCAGTCCTATAATCTTGCTATTCTGGGTAAGGGTAAATTTTAATGGTCACTTTATTAGAGAGATGGAAAATGAGTGATCTAAGATTTATTCATCTATTTTATTGATAATTTGTAGTGTTTTAATCAATGCAGTCATTTGGACTAAACTGGCAATTTTAGGTCCTCCTCCTGTTCCTGATAATGACATTGGCAAGTTTCACGCCCATTCACCTATGGAATTGTGGAAAAAGGTGTATGAAAAGCTCTTTCCACCAAAGGTATGTATTTCTAATTTGTTTAAAGCAAGAATTTTTAGCACTGTTCAACTGTTATAGGAAAGTTCTAAAGGTTCTATTATGACAACTTTGTTTTTATCTCTCATGCTTAAAAATCAGCTGAACATTTACTAAACCTCTGCTATAAATAAAGCGCTGTGAAAGTGAAAAGGCGACTAGGACATGGCTCCTGCTCTACTTTCCAGCAGAGTTCCCTGGCTGTTGCCAGAGAGAAGGAAGGAGCAGGAGGCAAGGAGGACTGGTGGGATTTGAAAAAGGCCTCAGTAGTGATGACAAAGGCTTGAAAGGTCTTAGGGAGCCTTCAGCAGTAGGTGGAGGAGGGGTGCTTGGCTTGTTAGACTGATGGTAGTCATTGAGGGACATGAAATGATTTGGAGAACTGTGATTTCAGAGAATCAACACACTAAAAGATGTCAAGGATCCCGCACGAGATCCCCAATATGCAGAGAGTGAAGTTGATGAGATGAGAATTCAGAAGGATCAGGTATTATCTTAAACATTTACTTAATTTCATCATGTGTTTTACTATAAAATCTGCATTGCCTTGGGAATTCCATGTACCTTTCTCAATGTATTTATTTTTACTTTTAAAATTGTTTAAAAATTATTTCTATACTCTAGAAAAAATTCTGATATGCATAAAGAAGAAACTTAAAAGTCATCTGTCATTCCACTACTCACAGATATCTTAATGTTCACGTATCCTGTTTTGGTTTTCTGGTTTACTTAACATTAGGATAGATTGTAATTCTGATCTTGCTGCTTCAAAGACACTTTTATAATATTTTTTCATTTGTAGGTTTACCTGAAAGGTTTTGTTTTTCATGAGAACATTCAGACATGCCTGTACTTTTCTTGTATCAGGAAAATTATCTTGTCTATGTGAAAGCACATAAACTTACAAGAACCTAGGGCCTCTCAGGAAAGTTCTTCAAAATGTCGACTCCATTTCAAATCTGCTCAGATAACCTCATTTTAATATACCAGCTTGATGTAAGAATATAAGAGTTGGTAAATTCACCATGACTTCCTGTTCCTAGATTTTTTCAGATCTGCTTTTAGGTTTTTTTGTTTTGTTTTGTTTTTGTTTTGGGGTGTTTGGGGTTTTTTTTTGGCACCGGGGATTGAACTCAACTCAGGTCCTTGCGCTTGTGAGACAGGCAGCAGAACCACTGAGCTAAATCCCCAGCCCTGCTTTTAGTTTAATAAAAGAGACATTCCACAACCTGTCCTCAGATGAGGAAGCTTCTGTATAGCAAGCACTTGAACTTGAAAAGCACGACTTCATCTGGGGTGGGATTTGTAGAGCTCTGTAACTTGAGTAGTCTCACACCCACGTGACAGTTCTTTGCTGGAAGCAGAGTATTTCTCTTAGCACACACCTTTTGTGGTAAGGGGTTCTAGAATATGTAAGCAAAAAAATTTATATAAATACAGTCTGGAAAATGTGAAAATGTTCCATGAATATTTAGAAGGTTTTGTAGCTAAAAGAACATGTTGTACAGACAGTAAAATGACCTAATGTAACCCTTATTATATGTGAACCTTGGCTGAAGAGATTAGTTGGAAGTCATCCCTGGATTAATATCTTAACCAGTAATTAACTGCTATTATTGAGTATCTGTTTATGTTATATAGAATGATGTTATTAAGTTTGCATGCTATGGTGTTATTAAAGGACAAGGGTATTTCAGAATATTGTGAGTTTTCACTTTGAGATCCATCTTCCCTAATTTTGAATGGATCTAGAAGGCAAAATCCCACAGTGTTTGAATCATTCTTTTCTTGACTTACATGTAATTGCCAATAGAGCAGACAGATTTTTTTAACCTACCTGACGAGTTTTGCCTCTAAACCAGTTTCCTTCTTGTTTTAGTAGATGAATTGCATTGATTTCAGATAAGCACACATGGTTCCTTAACATAAATTTATGCTTCTGTTTTAAAGATATCATCATGGTTATCATTTGATGCTTAATTATTTGATATATGATTTCAGAATTTGACATTCAATATCCAAAGTTTTAAATTTGAATTTTATTTCATGCTCTCTCAAAGGAGTTTCAGGACCTTAAGTTGTTTCCAATTGTGTGCTGTTATACACAGCTGATTTAGGTATGAGAAAATTCTTTGTAGGTTAATTTTGGATGATTCTTATTGATTTTCCTCTAGACATTTAAAAGTACACTTTCATTTTTATATGGGCAAGATAGTCACTATCAGTTTTACTGACACAGCCTATAAAAGAATTCATCTACATTAGGTAAAAGTCTAGCCAGTTGTCTACAGCTGAAATTTTGAGTGGAACTGGAAACCAAAACCCCACAGTAACTGTATCATTCTTCATATTGTCTGTTTTCTTGAGCTTAATATGATTATGGCTGTGTAACATTTTGCAAGAAAAGTAGCATTATAATCCTAGGATTTGATTTGACATCTGGAGCAGTAACACTTATTTAAAAGGAAAGAATGGCTTAGCTATTTCTAAATTTTAAATTCTCACATAACACATTGCTTAAAGAAGTCTAGATGGTGTACCAAGTACCCGCACATCTTTAAGCCGAGTGGTGATTCTTGTTCTTGTTCTAGGGGGAGAGATGATACCTGCTTTATTGGGATACTGTGATTGCCTGCAGGTGGGGAGCCAGCCCAGAGCCCATAGGAGACCAGACAGAGGGTCCTTCTCTTGGCTCCACTAGTAATGGTCTAAATGAGTATCAGGAATAGAATAGGAAAGGAGGCCTTTAATCTTTGCATTAGAAATGAGATAAATGTGAGATGAATGTGGTACGTATGGCCTGACTCACAGTGATTGCTCTTCTTCTCTCTCTGGCATGGCCCATGTGCCAAGTCCCATTCTCCTCTCACTCTGCTACCTGCAGAAGGGACATACTGCTATCAGAAGATAGCAAAGCAATATCTTCACCTTCGTCTTGACACTTCCAATTAAAGACGTGAGCTGGATGGGCCGGGGATTTAGCTCAGTGGTTCTGCCGCCTGCCTTGCAAGCGCAAGGACCCAAGTTTGATCCCCAACACCAAAAAAAAAAAAAAAAAAGAAGACATGAGCTGGGTGTGCTGTAATTGCAGCACTCAGGAGGCTGAGGCAGGAGGATCACTATGAGTTTAAGGCCATCCTGGGCTACATTGTGAGTTCAAGGCTAGCATGAATAACTTAGACAGGTCCATCTTAAAACAAAAAAAATAACTCCCCCCCAAAATTTCCAATTGAAGACAAATTTTACAATACTAATTGTATTCTTTACAAGTTGACAATGTTTGAAACTATAAATGGTAGATAACTGTTAAACTAGATTTACTTCATTAGAAAAAATAAACCACACTGCAAAGACTACTTTGGAGTTGCTATACAAATTCTAATATTTGTATAGAGTTTAAAATTTTTTAAATTTTTATAGAGTTTAAAAATTATAGTAACTTAGAATGTAGGTATCTTAAAGACACAATCCGTGATTTTTCTGACAATGAGAATGGATATTCTTTTCTTGGCAACTATGAACTTCAGTTATGTTAGCCAAAGGGCATTGATCACCTGATCTAGTAGAGTAACCACTTCTTGCTTATCCAAAGTAAGAAACTGTACATTATTTAGATACTGAGTAGCATGAAGGAAGCCAAGAAGAAACCCCTTTGATTATCTTTTTTACCTATAATTTGTCTCTTATAGGATTTCCATCGCCAGTAAAATTTATCTTTGTTTTATGAAATCTAAAATTAATTGTTATTTAATTAATATAAAAGTTATTCTTGGCCGGGGATTTAGCTTAGTGGTTCCACCACCTGCCTTGCAAGTGCAAGGTCCCGAGTTCTATCCCTAGTACCGAAAAAAAAAAAAAAAAGTTATTCTCGCAAAAAGATTCAAAAGATATAAAGTATGTAAGATAGAAAACAACAGTGCCCTGCCTTCTCCCTAGCTCTGTGCTGTTCTCATAAGGCACACGTCGTGTGTCCACCGTCACCCCCCCACCAAGACCTCATGGGTGGCAGCTGTGTCTGTGTGTCAGATCGGTCCTAACCGGGGACATCTGAGCTCTTTTTCAATTCTCAGAGATGCACAGAGCAGTGAGTTTCTTCCAGTCGCTTCATGTGCACCTCTCTAATCTTTTGGTACTAGGGATCAAACTCAGCTTGCACTTTGCAAGGCAGGCACAGCGCCAGTGAGCTAAATCCCCGGGACCATCTAATCTGTATGGTGAATTTCTAAAAGTAGAAAAGTACATCTTAAATACTATTATTTTGCTAACTTCTTGTTTTTTATTTTTTATTAGTACATGTTTGCATTACATAATGATCACATTCCTCATGAGGAGTTGATACTTGCACATAGCACATCTTAATTCTTTTTTCAACCCTTCTCCTCACCTCTATCTCTTGATCCCTTTCCCATTGACTTTTCAATATTTGACAAATGCTCTGTTTTATTAGTTGGAAGAAATTTTATATGTTCTATGTAATGTATAATTTTATCTGAAACTAATAAAGCCATCAGTGCTTGGACTACGTAGACTGAAAACTATTTCTAGAAAGTAAGTCTTTAGTAATCACTTACAAAATGATTGTCAAGAAGTTCTGAGAATGATAATACTATAAAGGATGCATTGTTAGATCTTAAAAATGCTAAGGAAGTTTTAAAATGCCTACTTGAATATGTAAAGTTGATTTTTCTTAATGGATATTTTTGTTTTAGGAACTGGAGCAGTACAAGAGAAATGCTTCCAAGTCCTGGAAACAAATTGAACTTGACTCTTGAACCTCACTCAACTATTATATATTGATTTTTTCCTTCCCAAAGTAAGATTATTTTATTAATTAACTATTGCGGCAATCTGTGAAGAAAGTTGAGAGGTGTGATTTGTTAGAAGGAAAGCTCGATTTCTTCTAATGTCTCTTTTCTGGGTACTCTAAAGTCTTTTAAAAGGGAAAAACGTTTTGTAATTACGTGTAATATTTCTTAAAAATAAAGGAATCTTCTGTTACCTGTCTCTAACATGTGTCGGTAGCATAGACTCAGCTCAGAATATACTATAAGTTTTGCTTATATGTTCGTGGGACTATGAAAGCAAGAATATTTGGTAACACTTTTAAATACAATGTTAAGTGTCCATATTGGACACATTCTTTCTAGAAGCTGAACTCAGCTGTAGCTGGTGGGAAACCAGATTTGGGCTCCTGGGTGCTATGCTTTTATTCTTAACAGTGAGGCACAAGAAGCACCTGAAAATACTTATTTAAAATGTACATTCCTGCTGGGCATGATGGTTGCACCCCTGTAATCCCAGCATTCAGGAGGCTGAGGCAGGAGGATCACAGTGAGTTCAAGGCCAGCCTGGGTTACATAGTGAGTTCAAGACCTAGCTGAACTACATAGTGAGACCCTGTCTCAAAAAACATTAACAGGGCCAGCAATTTAGCTCAGTGGTGCTGTGCCTGCCTCGCAATCCCAAGATCCTGAGTTGGATCCCCGGTACCAAAAACAAAAACAAAAACAAAATGCATATTCCTGGGTTCTTGCGCCCAGAGACTCTGAATCACTGGTCTGGAATGGAGCATTTTTAAAATCATCACCAAGTGAGACTGACATTTTTTTTGAAATTAACACTTTTTGAAGAGTAGACAAAATTAAGGCCATAGCCTATGAATAAGTAGAACCAAAATGTCATGAGTTGGGGATAACTGGGATCCTTTCCAGGATGGTATGCCTCTAAGAAGCCTTTCCAGTCCTGTAGATTTGTGTACCCATAGTCAAGTTCAATTTTAAGTATAATTGCTGTTATTGACCAGGAAAGTTATTCTTGTTTTTCCATTTCCACTTACAGAGTACACCAAGTATAGTATGGCCTGTGCCCAACTTCAATAAGCACATTTACTGATCCCAAGAACACTGAGACTAGCGAGTGGCATCTGCCATCCAGTTGCTCCAGTGCAGTGAGACTTCATAGCTATTTGTAGTGTGTGTATTTCAAACAAGCTAGAGAACAAGAATTTTCAGCTGTTTCTGAGGAATCCCTGCCTGCATGCTGTAGAGAAGGAGCTCTCTTTTCATCACAGGAAGCATTATGATCTTAGCACACAATACTAATAGGAAGTTTTATTATATAATTTGATTTTTGTACACATCACTGTCCACTTTTGATTTGAGACACAAAATGTCACATGTTGAAAGCCATTGTGTTTTTCTCTTTTTTTGTGAAACATTTATTCCTATCTATATTCATTTTAATCTCTTTATTTTCCATTTTATACTGACTTTTTTCCTGAATAAAGGTTACATATACCTCTTTTTGAATTGTCTTCCATGTCTTAATCCCAGTCATTGGTTATATACTTATCAATCATTTGCAATAGGATATGCTTATTAAGCCAGTTTACTCCAGTAACCTTGTGAATGAAAAAACATTACAGAAGTAAGGGTAATGTAGTTATTTTACTGATTCTCATCTAATTTCAGGAAAACTACTTCCCTAATGCAGTAATTCTATCTAGTAAGTTTTTTCTATTTCTAAACAGAATCAGAAAGAAAAGTGAGATCATAGGAAATCTATAGTTTACTACAGATGGTGTACTTTTCCTAGTTTGTCAAGAGTAAATTAATAGGCTAACATTTTCAAATGTATACTTTAATAAGTATAAAGTATATAAACAATTAGGTAAGCTTGTGGAGAAGCTGACCAAGATACATAAATTAGAAGATACAAGTATCCATCTAAATTTTCTATGTTTCTTTTTTTCTTTTTGCAGAAGATTTTTTTTTTTTTTTTTTTTTGGTACTAGGGATTGAGTTTGGGTCCTTGTACTTTCGAGGCAGGCGCTGGAACCACTGAACTAAATCCCCCACCCTCTTTGCAGAAGATTTATTAAGGCTGTTTAATATACAACTTTTCATATGTCATTTTGGAAGTCCTTTATTGTAAAGGTAATTCTTTTGTCTGATGACAAACAGCCACAATCATTATTCTGGACCTCCACGATGGATAAACTCCATTTCCTCTTGAGATATAAGTTTCCTTCTGTACTTCTGAGGTAGTGTTTTTAGTATTTCTGCAGTGTCTGGTGGACCTGGATGCATCAGCAACTCCAGTGATTTACTTCCCTTAGAATGCTGTGAAATTACAGAAGAGTGATATGGGATCCCTGCTGATCTCAAAGCTTCTGATACACTGGGTTTAGGATTGTCTCTTCTGTCAGGGAACCTTATTAATGGTGTATGTGGCTTGACTACCTGGACGACTCTGCTAGCAGACACCATCTTGCTGCCCATCATGACTGCCATTGTGTTTTTCTAAGATGCTATCACTAGCATTTAAAAGCTTGAAGTCACATGTGATGTCAATTTTCCAAATGTTTCCAAGCTAGAATGAAATTCATCTGCATATGAATAGTAGAAAATGTTTCCACTTACCATGTACACCTATATCTTTTCTGAGTCAAAATCAGTGATTTCAAAAGAGGTTCCTGTGAGATTCTCTTTGAACTACTACTTTAATAGATTATCACCTCAGAATTGTCTATAACTGATGTGACATATATAATCTGTAAGGCATTATGTAACTGTTATAACATAATCATCAGTGTCACAGGCCTTTTATAAAAATTGACAATACTATGCTAGTAATTTACCAATGTCTCCAGATTCTTAAATACTGTTCTAAGCAATAGAGTTATACAGCAGTTTCCTTAATGAAATGATCTTTTCTACTATAATGTGAGACATCTCAAGTGCTATAATTTATCATGCTGTACAAATTAGGTCATGGTAATTGAACAAAGTTCATGTGCTCTCTCTATACTGTTCTGCTCAAAGTTACCGTGGCAACATTGACATAGTTTCATTTCAGACTTGTACATGAATTTTTTGAAGATCAATCAGAAAGATAATCATTGAGTAGAAAATCCATTTTAATATCCTATATTCATCATTTCATCTCTGGAAATATATGATGTATGTGTCTATACTTAGAAACATTCTTTCTCTTTACAATTCAAGAACATGAATCCCTTATGTGTCATTTTGTTCTCAGTGGAAATGTTGTGTCAGTTGAGTATTTTTCTGTATGAACTTTTAATAACAGCTGATCTTCATGTCTGAAAGAGGTCATGTCTCAGTGCATGCATTTGTCTAGTAGCAGCTACTTTAAATTTTGTAAGTAAAGTAAGCTGGATATGGAAAGTAGTAAGTTCATCTTCAAAGTCATCAGCAGGGAGTTGTCCAGTGTGTTGTGCTCACTTCCTGCAGGTTAAATGTTAGCCCTCAGTAAAACCACTGGCTGCTCAGTGTCAGTGGGGGTCAACATCCAACATCCAACATCCTACATCCTCTCGATGTGATCAGAGCTGAGCCCTCTTGTGTGGGGAGGCTGAGGCAAGTGCAAATAAATGTAGGCTTTAGTTTGTTTTTGTTTGTTTCTTTTTTGCGGTATTGGGAATTAAATACAGGCCCTTGTGTATGCCAGGCAAGTGTTCTACCACTGAGGTACTTACGTGGATCACTTGCTCGCTTGCTTGTTTGCTTTCTTTCTTTCCTCTTTTTTTCAAATTTTGAGATAGGGTTTCACTAAGTTCCCCATATTGGCCTCAAATGTGATGCTCTTGCCTCAGCCTCCCAAGTAGCTAGGATTACAGTGTGCACCCCTATGCCTAGCAAATGTGAGTGTTAAATGATAGAAAAGTCTTCTTACCTAATTGTATATATTCTGTTTCAATTAAACCCATAAATTTTTTCCTGTAACTTTTCAGTCAGTAACCATTCAAACATTTCTCTTTATCAAATTCTATAATAAATGTAAGCAAAATTTTTAAACTGACTCATTTTTCTGTATCTAGAACAAGGAAAACAAATATTCACGCTAGTCTCCCATAGGCTTATGGATTCTTATTATTTACATTCTTGGACCAGCTCAGTCACAATTTTCAAATAGCACACATCCCAACAGGTTGGAATAACAAGGGGCAGTGACCCATTTCCATTGCACTCAAGGCCTGTGTGGATCTGAGGAGCACAAATGAAGTCTTAGTGGTGAAAAGATTTACAATGTCCCATCAAGAAAGAAATCCATGCCGTTTTTACTTCAAACAGTCATCCACGTCTGACAGCTGAAGTTTCATCTCCCAGCAGTGTTCTGCACTATCTGCTGATAAGATGGTCCCTCATTTTAAAAACAACTATTCCTAGGATGACCAGAACTGGGATATATGCATATAACATCAGAAAGTTTGTTGTGAATCTGGATGTTGCACCTGGGCAGGTTTTCTCAATGAACTGAATTCCTTGAGTGGTGAAGCACAGTGGATTATTTATCACAGAGTTATTTGAGCTGCCTGCCAAAGAAAAGATTGACAATATCAGCCGGGCACATCTCAGGTGACTCACTCACAAGTATTTCACTCTGCAAAGCACTCTTCTTCATGAAAGAGGCATGACATTTTTGAGAGCCCAGAACTCACAAACGGAGAAAGCCAGAGTGAGAGTTCTGGGCCTTGACTTCATTTGAAAATAGAGATGGGTTCATTTCTATTTTGCGTATAGATTCCTTACCATATTTTTAATAAAATGATATTCACTTAGCAACAGATACCCTAAAGTAATTGATGGCTGTCACATAAAAATATTTAAATAACCACTAGATTCCCTGGGATCTCCAGTGGCCAGGAGGATTTTGTTGTGTTCCCACTGGCCCCTGTCGAACTGTGGAATAGACTTTTGCTATCAATGGATCCACTCAGGTACCTACCTTGTACATTTTGGGGAGCAAGAAGCCACTTTATAGTCTACTTCAGTGAGCTCAGTAGATAGAGGAGCTGAGTCTATCTAGAATACACTAGAATTCAATTCAGTGTACATAAATTCTGTCACTTGCTAATAACACCAAAGTGGCCTTAGGCTATCGACCTTTGGCAGGAGACAAACTGGACCGATGCTTATTTTATTTAAAAAATCAAAGAAAATGTTGGGCTTTTATTTCCAGATGAGGTGTTAAAAATCAGTTTATTATAAAATATAGCATTTAATATATCATGTACAGGTACAAATTCCCAATGATGAATGTCATCATATTGTATAGCTAAAATGTACCGATAAACTTAATGAATAAAACATATATATAGCATTTATCACCAAAATACATTTCCCTCAGGAAACTGCTTCCTCAGAGTAATATGTAAAAATAGTATTTCAAAACTGAGTACTTACCACAAGTGAAATTCAGTCCATAGAACTCATTGACTACAAGAATCTCACAGCAATATTTTTGGAATGCAAAATAACTGTAGATTTGAAAAGCTTGGTTCGTTTCTTGTATGTTTCTTCAGGGAACAAAAGAAAGAAAGATAAAATTCAGTAGGCTCTGGTAAATAGTTTTACCAAATAAAAGGAAATGCAATCCTTATTTTATGTTCTCTAACATAAATATAATTTTCCATCTCTATTATTAAAATGATTCTCACTATAAAAATCTTCAAATAATACTAAAATATAAAGAAATACATTGTTCAGAAATAACTGTGGTTAACATTTTGGTGATAAGCTAGGTGTGGTGACACATGCCTGTAATCCCAGGACTCCCGAGGCTGAGGCAGGAGGATCACCATGAGTTCAAGGCCACCCTTGGCTACATAGTGAGTTCAAGGCTAGCCTGAACTGCATAATGAGACCCTGTCTCAAAAAACAAAACAAAAGAAAATTGGTGATATATACAACCTATGTATGTGTTCATAAAATTTGACATAATGGGATTGTACTATGCTATTTCCTAACATGGTTATTTCTCCCAAACATATGTCGCAGGCATCCTTCCAAGTTAGTAAAAGTAGCATTCAGTCTTTAAATTACACTTTGGTGATCCATTATAGTAGAGACTTTAGTAGTTCTTTCATGATGGACTAGTGCCTAATTGTGGGGGGGGAGCACCATTTATATAACAGAAGAAAACACACATATATTACACAAGAGGAGGACACAGATTTGAGGGTGCTGGGGTAAAGTGAGAGCTAAACTAAAATGCTGGGGGGACAGGATGGAAGGAACAAGCACACATTCATCGTGAAAACAAAGGATGTTCCTCTCCAGTCTAACTGGAAGAAACCTCATTCTGATTCTGTGCCCTTCTTAGTCCACTAAAATGTTTCTACCAGCCAAAAGTACATATTAAATATATTTGCAAATCTCAAGTTCTAGATGCTTTAGGAATTTTAAAAATAGTATCTTGTCCTTGAAGAACTCACAGTGTGGTTAGTGACACAATATATATCCTTAACCCATACATGCCAAAGACTGTAATTTTTTGAATTTTTTCATGAAATTCATATACGTTACCTAGAAAATTCAAGGAACAAGAATTTAAAGAGAAAAAAATTTTTATTATGTTCCGGTGTTATTGGTGGTCCAGAAATGAAACACTAGCCGTAAAAGGATTAAGTCTATAAAACATAGAACAGTGACCTATTTGTGCCAAGAACATATGAAAAATAGTATCACACATCCATGACACTCATATTTGGTGTGTATGGTCTCCCCTATTCCCAAGTGACACCCCCCCCAGGCCCCATAACTTTGATAGTGGCAGTTTTCTAAGGCACAAAATAAATGAGCCACATTGAGAGGTTGTTAATTGGTCTTGAACCATCTAGGTTTGCAAAATTATATGTTGACCTGAGTCAAGACCATGAGCTGGCTCCTGTGAGAGACTGTAATGAGACACCACTGCTGCCCTCGAACAGTTGGCAGTTTATTAAGGAAAGCCCCAACACAAGGGGGCACAGGATGGGCAGTGAGAGGAAGGGGGGACTCAGAGAGAGCTCCTCAGGCCACGGGAATGGCAGGCAGGCAGGCAGGGGGACCAATGAAGCGAAGGCACAGAGGAGAACCAGGCTGTGTCCTAGAAACCCGGGGAGTCTCAGAAGAAGGAAGGAGGAACCATGGATTTAGGTTTGTTGACGCGGAACTGTCCCCATTATGCTGTTAAATGGTAAGAACGTATGCATTCTTCCCATCTTAATAGTACAATCCCATTTTTAATAAAAATTCTATTGAAGTCTAGCCAAAAAGGCAACAAAGTTTAACTCTGGGTTGTGCTATTTCGGCTAACTTTCCCTTTCTTCTGCATACATGTCTATATCGTGTGCATTGTTTGTCCCAAAGAACTCAGAATATTTTATAAGTAGAAGGAACAGGAAAGCTTCTAATCATGTTTGAAGGAGGAGGAAGCCAGGAGTACAATTGCTGCCCGCAGTTCAAGCAGGGAAGATGACTACAAAAGGGAAAGGAAAATGCAATCAGTGCTTGGAAGTTGAGCAGAGTCCGAGTGAGGCGTCCCAATTTGAAGATTTGCAAAGAAATCAAGAGCATTTAGTAATTACCTCCCTTTTAACAGCAATTAAGCTCCTTTTCCTAAACAGTAGGTACAGGAAAAAGTACCAGATTGACTGCACGTAAGGATTCAAATCAATTTATAAAAGAGGAGACGACCCCCAAGCTTGAGTCTGCATCGTTGAGGGTGATTTGATCTGTGCATTTCTCATAGATGCTAACAATCTACTTAAGCAGCAGAGACAAATACAATGTAATGTGAAAAATACCTTCTTGACCCATCAAAACCTAGCTCACTTTGCTTTCCGGTGTTTTCATGTTATCTGATTGACTCCTGGTGACCTCTTGAGGTGGGTAGGGCCAAGATAAGAATCTCCTTTTATGTTTTATAAACAAGGAAACTAATTCAGACAAAAGGGTGACTTGTCCTGTTCACGGGCAGGCAAACTGTGGAGGGAGCTCCTGATTCCAGGTCAGCCCTCTCTCCAGGCAGCAGGGATTCAAGCAAAGTCCAGTCTAAGCTTCATTTCCTCCTGAGAGCTAAATGACTAACATATAAAAGTCATTTTGTATAGTGGATGCCCACTAGTTTGTTTGTTTGTTTGTTTGTGATTTGGTTTTTAAGTCAAAGGTATAAAACTTTCATTAGGAATCCATAGCTTAGATACCATACCATTCCTGTCACCTGCCTGGCCTCATTTTTATCTTTTGAAAAATTTCTACCCCTTTTTGTTTACTTTTAAGTATGTGTATGCATTATAAAATGATGACTGTCCATTGTAGAAAATTTGTAAAACATAAAAAATATGAAATTTTAAAATTAGATACCATCTAGAGATAATTACTGTTAACATTTGGCACGTGTCCTTTAAGTCCTGAAACTTGCTTTAGCAGCAGTCTTTTATCCTGCAGTCTTTTTTCTTATCTGACTAGTTTTAATTCATAAAAATAACTGGGAATTGAGAACCAGAATAGAGACTCAACAGTGCCTGGTCAGAAATGAACTGATATACATAATCTTTAGCCTGTAATGTGGACCACAAGTTTTTCTGGAGCATCCGGATTGGTTTTCCCTCTCTTGTTCTAATTGCATGTTGTAGGTGGATCATATCATTAGTTTGCTTACCTTATCATTTCCTGATTCCCAATAGAAAGACATTTTATTGAACAATTGGTACAAGGTCTAAGGCAGTAATGATTTCTTAGCAGGCAGCGTAAGTACTCCAAACCTTAATGTGATACCTTTAGCTAGTACCCCAGAGCTCCCTTCTGGAATTCCTTTATAGCAGGCATCATCCTGTGGTCAACAACCAAAAATCGTACCACCCTAAATCCTTTAAATCTTTGTATCTTACCTGACCAAGCCAGATCCAACCAGCAACCCAGCAAAGCTCATCACAGCCACTATACTGTTAACAATATTTGGGTTTTGGATCATACCAAGTAGCACAAGAGTTAAACATTCACCGATTAAGTGGGGGGCCAAGAGAGCAGCAGAGAAATATGCAAATCGGTCAGCCTCAGGATATAAGCCCAGAGTCCTAGAAAAACATAAGGTCTTTAGCTTCCTTCCCAAGCACTGTCACTTAAGAAAAATATCATACTTGCCTCTTTGTAAGGAATCACATTCTTCCTCCCAACACCACTCCTACCCCAGTGCTAAGGCCCCACCCAACTGTGTCTTGGCTCTCCTTCCTATCCCTGTGTGGCAGTAGGACTGTTGCAGCATCGAGGCCCTCACCACTTCCATCCTCCATCAGACTAGCTTCCCCCCTCCATTCTTAGCTTTTATTCTAACCTCCTTTCCTTGATTTGACTTTTGTTTCCTTGTGTAAACAAGCAACCCTATCTCATGCCCTTTTCTCCTATGTTCCCTTCACCAAATTTTCTCTCATGGATGATAGGGGTTTTAAGTGACTATTACACTTGGTTGCTCTTTATTTGTATAATAAGGAAAAGAAATTGGCATCTCATATACCCCCACCTCTTCACGATCATCCACCTTGCTTGTACAAATCATGACATCTTGTTTATATTGTTAATTCCCTTTCCTACCGTAGTCTTGTGATGTTTAAAACATTCTTTCCCCTTTGATGATTTCATAGCACCTGGACAAGGGTCATTCCCCATCAGGATGCTCCAGAAAAATTCATGTTGGTATGAGGTGTTGTTAGTGATCCCTTACTTTCATTTCCCTCAAGGTCTTGAACTTCCTTAAGGAGCCATCCACACAAACATCTCCTAATCGACTGATCTCCATTCCAGTGGCTGCACCCGTCTGACCTGGGTCACTCAGCATGTCTTCAACTTATGTGGCACTCAAAATGGATCCACTTACAAGGGTTCAGATTCAGAACACACCCTCTCTTATCTCAGCCTCCTTCCTGTTTCCCATTTCCCACTCCTCACTGCCTCAGATTTTTGCCCACCTCTTCCATTCTTTGCTGAATCAGTCCTCACCTCTAGGAGCCCTGCCTTCTCATTTAAGTGATTGAAAACCATGTTCAAAGTGTGTTGAACATGGCATACGGCTGTGCTAATTGGATCAAATTTGCCTCATCTGGCTCCTGGATCCCCTAAGGTTTCATCTGTATATTTTGGGTTCTCATCACGACTGACAGAAACCTCTACTTTACCCTTCTCCCCTATTTCAGTCTCTTTCTAGTTCTCAGCAGGGGAACTCACCTCCTATTTTATGAATTTCTTGTGTCTTCATTCTCCCTCTCTCTTTCTCCCTCCCTTTCATCCTCCTTCTCTTCCCACCCCTGTCTTTGCCAAATATTTCCCTATCTATCTATCTACTTATATCTACAGTCTCATGCTGTTCTGACTCCCTGTTCTGACCTGGGTCTACTCTGAAACCTTGATCTGTGACTTACCCAATTTTGGCTGTATTTTCATCTAACTCAGTCTATTGTTTGTTTGTTTCTTGTGTTGGGGATAGATCGCAAGGCTTTGGACTTGCTCTACTCCTGAGCTATGCCTCCAGCCCCCTAATGGTTTCTAATAATCTTATTTATCACATCCTAAGACAACCGTTCTTGGAGCTTGATGATCACTTAAGAACTGATCCTACCTCTTCATCCTATCCTGTTCCACCAAGCTCCCCCAAATAGCATCTGTTTCTTCCACAACCCTTATAAACCTGACTTTTATCCCCTCTACTCTATGAAGCTCTTTTCTGGAAATTCACAATGACTGACTGCCTCCTTTTCTACCTCACCTCCTTTACTCTTTGTGAGACTTAACAGGTTAAACACACCTTCTTGAAACACTGTCCTCCCTACCCTCTCTGCTGCCCAATGCACCTTCTATTTTTCACTTCCCCAAATAGCTCTTTGCCTTCTCCATCAGCTGGCTATCCTCTTCTTCCCCTTTAAGCTTTTAATCTTGGAGCTCACACTAGCCATGCCCTAGCTTATCTTGTACGTATATATCATGTTTATAATAATGATTCATAGTACACACCTTGGGACTTTGAACTGGCTATGGTTAGGAACACCTGTGTATGAATCAGATGACAAGGAGAGACAGTGTCTCAGGATTAGCCTAAGTTCTCTTTCTTGGGGCCAGGAGCTGGGAACCTTTACACTAATGGAGTCAGAGAATTCTGGATCTTTAAGGCAAAGTTACATAATGAGAGAAGATCCGTCTCCCCACAACAACAAATCCTGCAAATACTGTAACTCTACACATTCTTGGATTTATATCTTTCTGCAGTTCTAACACATAAAAGGAAGGCATCAATCAAAACCCAGTAACATTAGGGATGTTTCCCGGTTCCCAGTACCCTCTTCCTATGGCCACTCTTTTGTTCCACCAGCCCCCTTCACCCTGCCCAAACTGCAGTGTCCCTGTAATGTCCAGGTACATCAATGACATCCTGGGCAGGGGAGCTGCTCCCCTCCAGCCCACAGCAGCCTGGGGAGGCCACAGTCATTGCTGGTGACCAGTGGTCACCTCCTCTGCACCTGGGTCCCTGGGCACCTGGGTCCCAGCCACTTTGGAGCCCTCTTCTCTGGCCCACCCTGTAAGGACTGTGGGGCCTGCTCTCCACTGGGACATGGAGTCTATTTGGTTTGTTCTCCAGTTCCATATAGCCCACAGTTGTATGTATTATAAAACCTGAAAGACAGGACATTGCACAAGACATGGATGGGCAAAATGCAGATCATTCAGAGCAGAGAACATGGAGTCAGTCACCCTGGAGCTGTCTCCCCCACGTCTCACTGGCTCTCTGACTCCATGCAGGCCTATCTTGGGTGAATGGAATGGCTCTGAACCCCCCTTACCAGTAGCTGACACTGCTGAAAAGCACAGTGGCGATGATGCTGAAGGGGAGGATGTGCACCACGTAGGCCAGTAGTATCTGCCACTTCTCATACAGGCCATCCAGACTCTCCCGGTCACTGACAGCTCGAAGCACAGGAACTGACATGGAACGCAGGTAGGTTCCAGAACACTCATCACCACACAGCTGAGGGAGGAAGGGCTAGCCCATGCTGAAGGGAAACCCAGAGGGGCAGGGTGCCCACTCATGGAGGGAGGGTAGTGCCATCCAGGGGAGAGTAAAGCCTCCCCACCCAATATCCACACTCTACCTGAATGGCAATTTTGTTGCAAAAGATACAATTTATTTCCCTCTCCCTCAATTTGGTGGTGGTGGTTGGGGGGGGGGTCATCAATCCCAGAAAAAAGGGCATGAATGAGTGAGCGAGGCACTTTGTCCTCTTTTGTGCAGTATGTTGGCCCTCACCAAAATCTGCATTTACAATGACTCTCAGAGGGACCAGAAAAGACTGGTAAACACAGGGACTTAATGTTGCCCTTCATGTCCATCTTGAAGACCAACTTTACAAAAGGCATCATCCTTCCCTCTCATTCCCTGAACTTTGTGTTTCATTTCAGGAACTCTTCCAATATCTATTTTCTTGAATAAGCTATAATATCAGGCATCTGAGTGTGGCTTCTGGATTCCCACTGAGTTTGAAAATCAGGTTCTGATTATTCCAAAATAAGCTCCAAAGGAAACTAATGGTAACTGGGCCCCCACGAGCTGTGGGCATCCTGAAAGCCAGGAGAGATATTTTGAAAACTCTCCCCCAACTCTACCACCAAGGCCTCATAACTGACCCTCAGAGAGAACCTCTTGGTGAGCTAATTCATGGTAAGGTGCACATAACTCAATAGTTACCTCTCCCCCATCAAGGGGATCTGGACAGGGCCAGGGGTCACTCATAGAAATACCCTTCTATGGTGGACTTTTGCAGGGTGACAGCTGAGGCAGGGAGCTATTGAGGGAGAAAGGAGTGTGCCTCCTGCACACAACACTTACACAGAGTCACAGCGTTGAGCATGCCTGTGTATGGGGTGGCGCCCACAAACTGGTACAGGAGACCCACACGGTCCTGGATAGCACCCGTTAGGATATTGTTCTGGACCCGCAGGATGAAGAATATGATGAACAAACCCATGATCAGATTCTGAAGGAGACGCATAATCACTGCTTGCTTATTTCTCAATAAGTTTCTTGTCACTCTCCTGAAAACCAAACAATCCCATTTTAATTCCTTTTCTTTATCAGTGAATGTCTAAATACCTAAAACGGGTCTGGCTTACATTTCTGAGATTCTTACCTCAAGAGGATACCCAGTTTACAGACAGTTCCAGGAAGATCTTTGGTTTTGAAGGGAATCATTGGTAAGGTTTTCAGGTGTTTTGTTCTGTCAATATTCTCCAAAATTCTGTGACAGATTGCTGATTTTTTGTAGGCGGATTCAAGCATTTGGACTCGCTTGTAGGTTTCTATTTCTCGTTCTTTGCTTTGAGAATCCACTGATGTCAGGTCCACTAGATTTTTTCCCCCAAAAAAATATAATCCATGTGTATTTCAATGCACATATATACATAATGGAAAATAATATGTTTCATCATTGATTCAGGAATACTAACCATAATACCACATCTCATTAGAATAAAATCTGTTGTTAATGCCTACCTATAAAATCAGAATATTTTAAAGCTATCCAGCAGGGCCATGAGAATCCCACTGGTACTAGCAGAGAATTCAGAAACTCAGTTAATTTTTTCTCTGATAAAATAAGAGTATATCGATTTGCTTGAAAGAGATCCCTATCTCATTCTGATAAGTCATCAATGCCAATTGACCCGCCAAATTAGCTCCATGACACACAAAATCATCACAACAAAAACAAAAACAAAACCCACTAGGGCAGGTGCCATCTGAGCAGAAATATGAGATGAGAAAGTTTAAAATTCATTCACGATGAAGAATGTGAAAGAAAAACTTACTATAGAAGTCAAAGGGGTTGGAATGGTCAGGACAAGGGTAACCACAGCCATTGAAGAAATCCAGCATCTCCACTGGGGTACCACAGAAAACCAACTCTCCGAAGGTCAGGATAGCAATTTTGTCAAAGTACTGATCAGACAACAGACAGTTTTAGTGTATGGTCAGGTCATCGTGTCCTTATGGGAAATATCCTTCCAAGCAGTCAGCCACCCATCAGTACTCTCAGTGGGTTTAGGGTGCATCTCCTACATTTCAACTGGGTCTGATGACCATGCTCTCTCCCTGCTGAGCCCCAGAATGACCTCTGAGGTAGAGAAGAGCTACAGGTTTAAATTCCAGCCACTGGGCCTGGGATTTAGCTCAGTGGTTCCGCTGCCCGCCTCGAAAGCTCAAGGACCAGAGTTTGATCCCCAGTACCAAAAAAATAAAATAAAATAAAATAAAAAATAAATTCCAGCCATTAATTACACAGAGAGAGTGACCTTGAACCATCTGGGTTGTTCTGTTTGTTGCTTATATTTGAAATCTCAGATTCTCATCTATAAAAAGTGAAGAATCGCTAACAGAATACTGGGAGGATGAAATGAGAGTTTTGGGAAGGAATCTATATGGTTCAGTGGAAGAACACAGCCCTTGAAGCCAACTCGACCATGAATACCGTTCTGCCTTTGAACTCTATCATACTGACTCCGTTTTGAGTCATTTCTATGCTTTGCTTTTTTCCTCTGTCAAGGAGATATACTGATACCAGCCTCAGGGGATTATCGCGGGGCTTAAATGAGCTACTGTTTCAAAAGTACGTGGAATGTGGTGCTAAAAAGAAACTGGTTTCCATCCTTTCTCTTTCCAAATCAGGACTGTTGGCTCTATTTGCTTGATGATGCACCTTTATTTCTCTCCCCCTTCCCAGCCAGAGTCGAGCAGAACAAGGGCCATGCCTGCTTACCTGGAAGAATTCAGAGCGGGGCTGGTGGATGGTGAGGATCACGATTCGGCCCCTGTGAGCCAACTCCACCAGAAGGGAGATGATCTGATTCGCAGTCATGGAGTCCAGGCCTGTGGTCGGCTCATCAAACATCATGATCTCTTTGATATAATTTATCAGTTAAAATGTATACAAGCCTGTTGTTGTCATATGGGTAGGTTTTCAAGCTAGGAATATACTTTCTTTAACAGGTGCTATTCAAATTTTATATTTCCTCCAGAGTTAGTTTCATTAATTTGTCTTCCAAGGTACTTCTTAGAAGTTGTCAAATTTAATTCAAAACAGATTTTTGAAATATGCTTTCTATATCCTTTTAAATTCTGTAAAATCTGTGGTAATGTCTCCTAGGTCTTGATATTTTAATTTTAAAAATGTGTAATTGATATTGTGTAACAGGAAGTAAAGGTCTAGGGGGGTGGGGGAGGGGGGAGAGGAAAGGGGAAAAAAATATGAGAAAGGAAAAAAATGGAAACAAAATCTTTGCAAGTGGGGAAGGGTGGAGGGGGTGAAGGGAGGGCAGGGGAAGAGGGAAAAAAATAAGAACCAAGACACTCATGTAATGGTACAAGATCCCAATGATGTATGTAACTGTATTTTATACCTAAAATGCACCAGTAAACTTAATGGGGGAAAAACAAAACAAAACAAAACATCATGATCTCTGCCAACAAAGAAGGGGCAGATGTCTGAGCCACTGCCCCACCAGGCTCTGTGCTTAAAAACTCAGTTTTGATCATTCCTTTATTGAGCTGTTGTATCCCCTTCACCCAAGTACATGATCAGAAGTAGCTACATGCAAACTGCTTTCAGCCCAAGCCCCAGAGAAAGGATCTGGCCTGGGGGACCCAACCCCCAGCTCTGAGCACATGTAGGGATAGGGAGCAACAAGATAAGGCCTCCTACTCAGTACTGTTTGGGCTCCATCCAGATGGGCACCAAGTTGTTCTCAAAAGAGAGAAGATAGGCTTTTAGTTATTTTATGTGCCAGAAGCCTTAAAAATCTTCCTATGAAAATATTGATATACTGTACAATTATTTCACATTTGATATGTAGAGAGGAGCAGAAGTTGGTATATATTCATATTGGAAAACTTTAAATACTATTTGGAAGTTTCAGAAACCCTGGTTTTAATTCAAGTAAAATGATAAAATAGTCATGATGCTGTCAGATGCTAATATTCCTATTTGCTGTACATTTACATGAAAGTTCACATGGTTAAGCTACACAGCACTTAATCTGGCAAAGTCTGGAGCTTGTTAGTATCCTCTCTCTGCTTCAAGAATTTAATTACTCATTTATTCTAAAAGATTTTTTCAAACAAGCTGACATCAAGTTGGTTTTCCCTGAAGCTACTGGAATATCTGCCTCTTTTAAAAATGTGATTTTTTTTGCCTCCTGTTTAATAAAAGCAAGTTGTGTTTTAAAAAGGGGGAGGTGCCCCTATTTCATGTCTGTAGCACTCTCCAACAGTAAAAGTGTTTTTGTACTGCAAAGAAATCTAACCCATAAAACAAGATCTGAGGTAGGGTAGGTGTTTAGGTTCTTTAGAACCCAAAACTAGATTAATTGTAGTTTATGTCCACCCCCAAAATGACCAAGAGCTCTCAAGAGCACTTCTCATATCTGCCTGTGAGTGATCAAGCACCACCAGAAGATCGGGCCGTCTTAATCTACTACGAAGGATCTAGAGGCAGTACCCCCTCTTCCAGGCGTATAGAAGGGGTGGAGTTGCCAGGTGGGGGAAGTGACTAAGCCAGGCAAGAGAAGAAGGGGACCGGCTACCTCAGACTGGGCCCTCCCCATGGCATATACACCTGTCCGAGTCGGCCTTCAGTTCCTACTCTGATTCCTGTTGTCTCATAAATACTTCTGACCATACCACAACTAATCTGCCTTTCCCTGCAGATACAGTGGTGCTGCTAGAGTATAAGGCAGGCCCTGTGTTCATGGGAAATGCTAATAGAACACTAAAACACAAACGTGATGTTTCTGATACAAGAGATATTTTGTACAGAGGGTCCTTGCCTTATTAAGGAGTTGTGTTCGATAAACTCATGGTAAAGTGAAAATGTTGTGTGTTGGAAATGCAGTCATACACCTAACCTACTGACTATCATAACATAGCAACACAGCACACTGTAGAATGTTGGTTGTTCCCTCTTGTGACCACATAGCCAACTGGTAGTTGTGGCCTGCTGACACTGCCCAGCATCATAAAAGAACATTATACTACCTGTAATCCCAGCACTCTGGGAGGCTGAGACAGGAAGATCATAAATTTAAGCCTGGCCTGGGCAACTCAGTGACTTACTAAGACTCTGTCTCAAAATAAAAAATGAAAAGGGCTGGAGATACAGCTCAGTGTGAAGGCCCTGGGGATCAATCCCCAGTAGTGGAGCTGTGTGTGGGGGTGGGGGTAGTGGTATCACATATCACTAGATCAAAAAAGATCAAAACTCAAAAATCAATGTACAATTTATACTGTGTGTATTGCTTTCACATCATTCTTAAAGTTGAAAAATTATGTCAGGACCATTGTTAAGTTGAGGACTGTCTATACTTTGATGATGAAGCAGCATTTGGAAATAAACTACATGGTACTTCAAAAAATCCTGGGTCTCCAATTCAGAAAACTCAGTGATTTCAGTGCTACACAAACTCCTTTCCATGTGTGGACCGGAAAGAAAGGGCTTCAAGTATCTGCGGATACATGGCAAGTGACCAGGCAGCAGCCGGTAGCTGCAGGTCTGTGTTCCACTTACTGGGGTCCTGGAGGAGCTGGACTGCAATGGAGACCCGGCGCCGCTCACCACTGGAAATGCCCCCAAAGTTATAGCTGCCAATCACTTGGTCTGCCACGTGGCTCAGCTGCAGCTCTGCCATGATGGCCTCCACCTGTGGGAGACACAAAGCCCAGGACCGCTGGCCACTTGGTGACAGCTGCCATCTCAGCTCCCGAGCTGGAGACAGCCAGAGAGAGAACAACTTAGAATGCCTGGCTGCTTCCAGACTCACCATGTCCTGGGGAAATAAGCCTATTATAGTGAAATCCAACTTGGCTTAGGTCACAATGTTACACACGATTTAAACAAGGAAAGGGCATGTATTTTTTAGTCCCCTACAGTAACAAAAAAATGCTTATATTTGCTTCAGGGAGATTCATCATGAAATGCCAGATAGTGCATTGAGCACCTATTTTCAGATGCTGACCCCAGACCAGCCCATACAGAAAAAGCTCCCAAAAGAATAGTTACAATAGAGCTTACTTTTATAAGCGTTTAGGTCTTGAAATTTACTATAAGACATGTTTTATATGTTTAAAAAGTCCAAATTGGTCTGAACTAAGCCTGGTTTTCCCTATGTCATCCACATACATCCTGGGGGTCTCATGTGGGTCAATCTCAGTGTGGTTTTTCATCAGAGAAATGTAATTAGCTACCAAAAGTCTTGAAAAGTAATCCCAATCTTGCCTTAGATCTCTCTAAACACTTTAAAGGGACCCAATTCATAATCCACAGCCACACTTCTTTAAATTGTCTTTCCTCTAGTCCTCCCCACCATGCTTAAACTCTGAAGCTCCTGTCTCCTTATTCACAACTTGTCAAAACAATAACAATAGAAATCAGTGCTTCACTGTCTAGAAAGTTGGCCTTTTCCCCCTTCTCTCTCTTTCCTCTCTCAGCTTGTCCTGTCTCCAAAGATCTGATGGAAGATTTCTACTACTTCTAGTTCTCCCTTGACTGATCGGCAGACAGCCCTGAGGAGGCAGCTGGATGAAAACTGAAAATATGTACATAGTAATGTGTGTGTTCTCATCCTCTTCTAATGAGGTTGTGTTCTTTTTTTTTTTTTTGGTACCAGGGATCAAACTCAGGTCCTTGCGCAGCAGGTGGCAAAACCACTGAGCTAAATCCTCGGCTCTGTGTTCTTTTTATAAGGAAAAAAAGGAAACTAATACATTGCATTGAAAAATAGCCACAACTGCCAGCCATGGTGGCACACACCTGTAATCCTAGCACTCAGGAGGCTGAGGCAGGAGTTTACCACGAGTTCAAGCCCTGCCTGGGCTACATAGTGAGTTCAAGGCCAGCCTGAACTATATAGTGAGACCCTGTCTCTAAAAAAAGAAAAGAAAAGAAAATAGCCACAACAAGCTAGATTGGAGAAAAAAAGGGATGATGTGTGGAACAAAATTCCAAGGAGCCAGAGAGCAGTATTCCAACATACATGAAACCTTAATCAAAAGAAGGGACATATCTGAAATAGATAAAGAAGAAAAATGAGACGGCAAAATGTGTAAATAAACTAGCTTGAGATGATCTGGAAAAAAGAAGTGTCTCGTCATTAGACTAAAAAGATTCTAGAATTGAGCTTTGGTTGACAAGGCTGGGTTTGTGTGCTCACCAGTTGGGGCAGACTTTCAAACTTCCTTTCATGCCTGCAACTTCAGGAAAGTTGTAAACTTGCCCCTTGGCTTGGAAGGGATGGACAGAGGAGACAGTTACTTAATCTGGCCTCCATGTTTTGAGCCTGATAGGAAACCTCTTCTGTGTTTTTGCAGACTCTATTCGAAATGGAATTCAGAGTCATGAAAAGACTTTGGGAATCATCAAGGCCAATCTTCTCTATGCCCTGGCATTTACATAATTGGATTTATTCCTCACATAAACCCTAGCAGAGATGTATTATTATTCTATGTATTATGGAGGGGAAAATAGATTCTCCAAGAGGGCCACAGCTTGTCCAAGGCCCTGCCCTTGGTAAGGCAAGCGTCAGGGTTGCCTGGGGGCTCAGGTGGCTCACAGAGCACCAGGCTCAGCTGACAGTTCAGCAGACACAGCCTGCCCATGTCAGCCATGCTTTGTTTTCAGGTTCCTCCAAGGTCAGAGCAGGTCTGCTGGGCCCTGTCCACTGTTATCCTGGGTACCTCCTGCTCACTGAATTACTTCATCAAGATCTCATCCACTGTGGATTGGATTTGCTCAGAAAGGACACTCAAGCAGGACCAACTCTGTGCTATCAATCTTTGCACAGCATCTGGGAGCTTCCTGAACCAGGCAGTGGGGGTGTGTGTGTGGCAAATTTGCCATCAGACCATTTCAAGGAACATGTGAATTGGCTGAAGATTTACATCCATGGGTTTCTCAGGATCTCTCAAATGTGATAGAAATGAATCACCCCATTCGAATCTGCTCATGACTTCACTTCTCCCACCCAAATGCCACTGGAGTTTTTTTCCTACCCATTTTATAAAAAGAAATACTAAACTACCAGAAAGAAAGCTGCAGAGAGGCTGTGTGGCCTGGCTCCTCCCCTACCCTTCATGATCGGGGCCACTGAGCCTTGTGAACACAACTACACACACAGGGCCCCTATGAGCTGAACCCTGGTGTCACCCTGGCCACACAGGGACTGCCACTCCCAGTTGCCTGGTCCTAACTCACTGGGTGTCAGTGAGTTCTGCAAGATGGAGACAATGTCTCCCTCACAGGTTGATATGAGAAGGAAGTGAGATTTGTGTGTAAGACAAACCCTGCCCAATGCCAGCCAGACAAGAGAGCAAGCAAAACCAGGTGAAATGGCAGGACCCCACTGTACCTCTGAGCACTCTAAGGCCAGATGGTCCTTCCTGAGGGAAGCCCCCCTCCAAGGCGGTCCTCAGAATGGTTGGGGTTGCTCGGACAGGAGAATGCTGTTTACCCACAAGCCTCCTTGGCAGGGAGTGTGCCACTTTGAAGATGGCACTCCACCTGTCATGGTTCCTGGGCCTCACAGTCCAGACAGAACTGAGGCAGTGTTTCCAGGGAAGGTCCCAGGGGCTTTACCTGTGGCTACTCACAAAATGGCTACACTTAACAGATTGGATTCCAGGGCCTAAGATTATTATGATGGACACACTTTTACCTTTGTCTCTAAGAAACATGCTTTGATTATCCCCTCTGAACTATAGGCCAAGACTTGTTAGCCTAAGAAAAGATTTTTTAGTAATTTCTTCTCAGGTATGGAACCATGTTCAGAACTAACATGCTGGCCAGAATAGAACTGCTGGTTAAACATTTTATTTTCAATTAAATGGCCTTTATTCTGGATTAGACAACAAAATTCCCTTCCTAGGTGTGCTCTGTAAATTATACTCCTGTTTGAATGTTAAATTTTTGTTTCTAAAGTTTAATTTTAAGATGTTTGAATGTTCAGTTTATGTCTTTGAACTACAACCGCCCCCCCCAAAAAACAAAAACAAATTGGAACCTAGAAAGAGTTGACCATTTCACAATGTCTGCCCTCGTGAACATAATCCCGTTTGGATGAGGCCCATTCAAGATACCACAAAGTAAGTTGAAAAAAATCACTGGGAAAAATAATTTAGACGTTCAAGGCAGACCTCAAAGAACAGCACAGGCCACTCGATCATGCAAGCCGCACAGGGGAGGGGATACGTCAGCAGCCCAAATTTTTAAAAAGTTTTTTAAAGGTGAAATTAATACAATAATAATAATAAATATTCACAGTCAAAATATTACCATTTCAACCTATTGTCAATATTTTGGAAAATGCTGAATGAGATTATTTCACATTCTGTTTTTTGGGAGGGTTTGCTTCATATTTCCCAGAGGGAGTGTGAAATCCATCTGTATATATTACGCCCAGAGCGCATCTCTGGATGGGCCACATCTCGGTCAAAAGGCGCAGGAGGAGCCCAGCGGGGTGAAAGCAAAGGGCAGGGACGGGCGAGCCAAGGGGTGGAGGAAGAGGGGCTGCTGGGCGGGCGCGGGGTCCCCACCTTCTTCCGGAAGAAGTCTTCGGAGCTGCGGCGCGTGGCCAGCATCGCCGTGTAGCGCAGCGTCTCGCGCACGGTGAGGTTGCTCAGGAAGATGTCGCTCTGCGGGAGAGCGGACGTCAGCGGGCCGGGCGCGCCGGGCGGGGGGGCTCAGGGGGGTGGGGGTGACGCGCGCCCACCTGCATGACGTAGGAGAAGCAGTCCTGGAACTGGCTCCGGCGCAGCCTCCTGCCGTTGACAGACACCTCCCCGAGGAGGGTGCCGGTGCGCCGGAGCCTCCCGGATATGGCATCCAACAGCGTGGTTTTCCCTGAACCTGGAGGCAACACGAAGAGGCCCTGGAGGAGCCTTCGGAGGACCGAACCGCACTCCGCGGAGGCCTGGCCCCTGGGTCAAATTCTCAGGGCACAAAGAAGTGTGTCCCCTCTAGCGACAAGCCATTTCTCTCAGGCAGGTAAAGTCTGAAGACGCTCTGCTGGTTTATTTCCTTTGGCGTTGAAAAGGAAACTATAGGATCAGAATAAAAGGAAAGCCAGGACTCTTGGAAACATTTGGCTCTGAGGACATTTGGATTTCTTTTTGTGGTCCCCTGGAATTGTCTGGTTGTACCTGCCAGTAGGTGGCATTGCCTTGCCGACAAGATCCCTGGATGACCCCTCTGTGTAAAGAATTTGAGAGGCACCCTCTTAAGGAGTCCTTTGCTGAGACCAAGCTGGTCTCAGCCTGAACCAGGAGCCTTGGGCATATATATCTCGCCACTTGTCACTAGGGACATTCCTGCAGAGGACTTCAGCTCCACCAAATAGAAACCTTGAGAGATAATAAAGGATGTTTTTTGTTGTTTTAAGCCACTTTGGGAATTCTTTTTATTTTGCATAGAAATAGATAACTAATTCAGTCTTTCCAACAGGTGTCAAATACTTATTAACTAATTAATGAGAAACCAGCACAAAGCTTATCTAAAAAAGGACATAGGAAACTGATGTATACAGTCAGTGGAGAAGAAGGTTAGAATAAGGTAGGAACGTTAAACACACAAATGGTGAATTCCCTGAGGGGCAATAAAACCATGCTTTGGGGGGTTATTTCTCTAATAGGGCAGAAATAATTTGTAATTAAACAATCTGCAAGGAAGCATTCATCCCAGAGTCTGGGTTCTAATCAGGAGCAAACAGTGAGTCAAACAAATCCCCCTGGTGTGGTAGGTGGCCTGCAACAGGCTTACTTTAGGCCACACTTTGGTGAGACTTTGAATAGTAAGTCATCTTTTCCTCATAATAAAGACTTGATAGATAAGTGCTGCTAAGAACTACACAGCAAGGGCTGGGGATTTAGCTCAGTGGTTCCGGCACCTGCTTTGCAAGTGCAAGGTCCCGAGTTCAATCCCTGGTACCAAAAAAAAAGAACTACACAGCAATGGAATCAGGTCATTTCATGAAACACTACAAATGTTAATTAGACATAAAAACATATTACCATTAATCCCTTTCAGAATACTCCTCCTTGCTTCAAACACACTTATCATTTGTGTCACTTTCTGAAGCCATTCTGGAAGTACTCTTTCATGACTGTATGATGTGTGATCAAAACAGTGGTGAATGCTGCTGCTGAGTGCCATCCAACAGAAAGGCAGACCTGTAAAAATCACAGGGTGTCCTCATCTGCCCTATTCACCAGATCTGGCACCATGCGACCCTGGCTCTTTCCCAAAGTCAAAATGACCATGAAAGGTAAACATTTAAAATGGATTCAGGTCATCAAGGTAGCCACAACAACAAATTAAAGACACACATGAAAGAAAACTTCCAGAATTACTTCAGCAAGTGGCAAGGGCGATGGCATAAGTGTGTTTGAAGCGAGAATGTTCTGAGGTGGATTAGCTGCAATGTGCCTTTTACTGTAATAAATTTTCTTTTAGTTAAACATACCATATTTTCGGGCCGGTAATTTAGCTCAGTGGTTTCGCCACCTGCTGCGCAAGCGTAAGGACCTGAGTTCAATCCCCAGTACCAAAAAAAAAAAAAATACCATATTTTCCTATCACAGCTCATAGATTGAATTTATTCACTCATTTGTCGAACAAATATTAAACACTTACTTAGAGGGTGGTCCTGTTCTAGTATTAAGGACACAGCAGGAAAAAAAAAAAAAGATAAAGTTCCTGCTTTTGTGGTACCATTATAAAACCATGATTAGGTATATTATCAGACACCAGGCCACACCCCTAGATCAAGAGCTCCATCCACTGTCTGATGAAATGTGCACAAAGTGCGACATTGGACGGGGACATCCTTCTGAGAAGGGTGCCATGGATGTCACCCTTCTTAATCCACATAAAGAATACAACAGGTTATTATAGGGATAACTCAGCATTTTTCTTTTTAAAAGAGCATGTTATATTTATCAAAAAGGAAATTAGAATGATCTTGCATATTATGATACAGTTATAGTTAGAAATTTTTTTAAAGATGGAAATAAATCTGGGCATGATGGCACATGTCTGTCATCTTATTAGCACTCTGGGAGGCAGAGGCAAGAGGGTCACAAGTCTGAGCAGACTCTATCCCAAAAAAATGTAGATGTCGTTCAGCATGAAGGCCCTAGGTTCAATCCTAGCAGAGAAAAAAAGAGTAAGTAAATAAATACCAGAAAAAAGGAATAAAAGTTGATGAGAAATCTTAGAAATGTGTAATGGCTTTAGTTAATGATGTGATCTGAATATTACATCTCCTTAAAACTCAAATGTTGAGGAGCTAGGGATTTGGCTCAGTGGCACCATGCCTGCCTTGCAAGCGAAAGGGCCTGAGTTCAATCCCACGGTACAAAAAAAAAAAAAAAAAAAAATCAAATGTTGAGCTCTTTACCCCCAAGCTGATGGTAGGGTTGGACGGTAGTTAGGTTCTGGGGGTGCAGCTTTCCTGACTGGGATTAGTGGCCTCATAAAAGAAGCTTGAGAGAGATCCCTCATCCTTTCTACCAGGAGATTAGATTGAGGAGATAGCTGTTTATGAGGATCAGCCTGTACGACACATGAAATCTGCCAGCACCTTCATCTTGGGCTTCCCAGCCATTAGGACTGTGAGAAATAAATTTCTGCTGCTTGCAAGCCACCCAATGCAGAGTGTTTTGTTACAGTAGCCCAAGTAGATTACAACAGTCAATGAATTCCTTTTCATTTGGTCTTCAGATCCTACTGTTCTCATCCAGTTGTGCACCTGCTATAGCAGATAGTGGTCACTGATTTAACCACTGCGGGTAAAGAGGTTGGACTATCTTTGCCATTGCTGTACCAAAATACACAAGTTGGGTAATTTGTAAAGAAAAGAAGTTCATTTAGCTCACGGTTTTGGAGGCTTGAAGTTCAACATTAGCCAGCCCCATTTGCTCAGCTGTGGTGACAGCCTTCTGGCTACATCACAAGGTGCCAAATGGCATCACAGCAGGATGACACGTAAGAGGGAAAGACTGCATGGTGAGACAGGAAGCCAGAGGGATTCAGAGACAGCCTTGCTTTTTTCATAACAACTTTCCCTGGCAAGAAGGAAACGAAGTACTGAGAGAGCCACGTCCTTCCCTTCTGAGGTTCCAGCACCTCTTAAAATTTCCATGCTGGGGACCAAGCTTCCCTGACATGGACCTTTAGGGGACACACTCCTGCCACCTCCCAATCTGCACCTTCCCTAACTTTCACACCAGGCTTACTTTCCCTGTCTCTGTTAAAGAGAGTAATGCAAATGAAGAGTGGTGGTAAATGCCAACAATTTGCAAGCAACTGTGCAATCAAGATGGTTCCATGAAGCTGATTTGTCAGAGTCCTTAACCGTACAACAGGCAAGACAAGCTAGCCTCATGGTGTTTCATGCAAGTCCCCTCTGGAGGGCCAATGTACCCACCCTCAGCTGCTGGCAGTGTCAGCTCTGAGGATCCTGAGGATTCTCACCTGTGACCCTCACAGAAAATTGCTCTCAGCCACAAGGAGCTGCCTGTCCAGAGGCTACACCTTCCTGGGACAAGGACTGGCTGATGCAGGGACATAGAGACGAGCGTGCAGGTCAGGCTCTGGTGTAGCTACCCTTGAGAAGAGGAAGAGGAGGATGACATGGGGAACAGGCTCAGAGACGGCTCAGTGCAATCTATAGTGTTTAGTTCCTTAAAAGGGGAAAAGACCTGAAGAAAGAATGGCAAAATGTTAAGATTTGATAAGGCCTGATAGTAATACATGAACACTTTTTATGTTATTCTCTATTCTTGGCTATGAGTTAGAAGTATGTTGTAAATGAAAAAGGACCGGTGGAATCAAATGCAGGAATTAAATGGGCATTTTGGTGCTTATTTAACTCCTTTTTCTGTGTCTAGGCAGGGTAGCAGTGAGGGAAATCATGTTTGTTGGGCACCCTGGGTATGCCTAGCATGCATGAGGCCCTGGGTTTGATCCCTAGCACCACCGAAAGAGAGAGAGAAAAGCAGACAGAGAGAGAGAAAGAAGAATTCACTGATATGTTAGGTAGAACTTTATATTCTTTCAAGGATCCTTTCTCACGGTTTCATATTGTACCATGTTCTATTCACAGTCAGATGTCATTAGATTTTATTCTAATATCAAATTTATGACCTTGAATTTAAACTTATTTCTTCAACATGGAGCTTAAATCAAGCCACAGCCTTTTCAGCATGTTCCATAAGAACCAGAACACTCCTCCCCAACTTACCTGAGCTCCCTAAGATGCACATGATCTCCCCACTCTCCACGAAAAAGGAGACGTCTTTGAGGATCTGCCTGTTCCACTGCTGCCAGCGAGATCCAATGTTCCACCAAGGCCCGACATGATAGCTGTAAAGAAAACTACGTTATCGAAAAGTCTGCGTGGGGTCCTGGAAGGGGCCAGACCAGGTCTCCCAGCACTGACCCAAGCTCTGCCCTGCCCAGTTGCCCTGGACAGGATTGTAAGTATATGTCTGCCTCGGTGGCCTGCTCTGCAGGCCCTGGCTGCAGGCTGGTGCCACCCACAGAAAGTGCCTGCCCAGAAGCTTCTGTAAATGTCAGGTCTCTGTCTGGCCATGCAACGGCAAACAGAATACTGTTTATTCCTAGGTTGACCCACCTTCCGTCACCTGGGTTTCTAACGCCTCATGCTCCCAACCCTGGCTCCATGGGTCTTCTCTATTCACATGGGGCAGGCTGCAGACAGTGAGGAAGGGGTGTGGGCCACCATAGGAAGGGTAAAAGGCCTTCTTGTCTCTCTGCACCCCGATCCACTAAGGAAGCAGCCCCAAATCCCCAGAGGCACCTGAGTAGTGAGGAGAGGTGGCGGCCCCACAGGCCTACCTTACCTGACACTATAGGAGACATGCAGGACATTTAGGCTGTGGCGAGTCCTGGAGGCCACCGTAGGACCTTCCTCTAGGGAGCTCTGGTGACTTTCATTTACTTGGGGCCTCAAGGTCCCGTCTCCTGTCAGAGAAGAGAGGTCACTCATGGCCAACAGGCAGCACAGGCAGGTGAATTTTCTGGTGGCCTGGCTCTCTCTGGAGTGGCTTCAGCCGAGTTGCCAGTGACAGAGTGCCCCACCTGCTCCTGGCCAGCCTGGACTTGGCCACGGATGCTATTATCAGATGTACCTTTAGTCGGAGTGCCCTTATCTTGACAACGGGTAGAGCACACGGTATGTTTGTAGGAGGGCTTGCCAGAGAGGAATGCTGGGAGAGAGCCTGACACTGTTAAGAAAGGACCAGGACGCCCAGCTCTAAGGAACCGAGACAGAAAGCAGACGCCAAGAGCCACAGGAGCTGCGGTAAAGGGACGCAGAGCTGGTGGGCCCATGGCTGGGGAGGCTGCAGAGATGGGGCTCTGGAAGGGGGCTGCTGTCCAGGATGCCATGGTGAGTGACAGGGGCCACCTTGGTCTGGTAGGTAGGGAGGAGCTGGACCTTCCTTTCCTCTCTCAAGAGTTTCTGTCCTAATCCACCACCTGGACCACAAACAGAGCAAGAGTGTGGCCCCAGGACTCCATTTCCTGGGTGTCAGAGGGCAGAGGGGATCAGATTCAGGGCTGTGAAACCTCTGAGGTCACTTCCAGCCTCAGGCCTGCTCCTATAGGGGAGTGAAGTTTTTGTTTGCGATCTGGGGTGATTTAGCTTTCTCCAAAGGAGACTGTATCACAGAAACCTACCCACTCATACCGGGAACTCTTCTGGTGTCTTCCTTGTCCATGTGGCTCTCAAGCCAAGAATCTCAGTGGCAGAAAGTGACAGATGCAACTGGATGACTTGTGGAACCATCAGATTTTATGCTCAAAATAATCAGGTAACTAGAGGATCTGGGAGAGAGCTCGGAGGAACAGACAAAGGTGGAGCTACAAGGTTCCCTCCTTCACTTTACCAAAGAAGTGTTTACTTGATAAATGGCCTTTGACTGGGGAGAGTGGCCAGAGCTTCAGGCAGGGGGCTGCATTGAAAGACAGAAGGAAAGCAGGTCCTCACCTCTGCTTCAGCCCACCGCACCTTTCTTTGCTGGTTGTGAGGAAAAGTAAGAGAGAAAGGCAAGAATAAGAACTCCAAGCCGGGCGTGATGTTGCACGCCTGTAACCCCAGCACTCGGGAGGCTGAGGCAGAAGAATCGCCAAGAGTTTGAGGCCAGCCTGGGCTACATAAAGAGTTCAAGGCCAGCCTGAACTGCACAGCGAGACCCTGTGTCAAAACAAAAAAAAGAAGAGAAAAATAATAAGAACTCCAAAGTCCAGCAGGGGGCACAGGTACCTGGAATGACACTGAGTTGCCAGGGTGAGACCCAGTCAGGCCCAAGGATCCCAGGCTCTGGCCTCTGAATTCCCTTGGGCCCAACCCCTAGGGGTCTGCCCCTAGCATTTGCAATATTTGGAACTAAAGCATAAGGTACACGTATCCTTTATCTAGATCCTTAAAAGCTCTCAATCGAGCTCAGAACTGTTAAATAGCAAAGTTTCTACCCTCTTGCTTTGACATGCCCTCCTTACAACCTGGAGGCCCAAGTATAAATTTTAAAAATCTGGGGCTCCTTAGAATGGCAGCTAGACTAGGGTAGCAGGAGAGTCTGCATCTAGCCCACACCATAGCCTGTCCCCTCCTCTACCCGACCCCCAGCTCCATCCCACTCTTCAGAACAAGAAACATACACAGTCCTCCTGGTCACCTTGACCTGCCCACCCACAATTCATCCATGCCCTCCACAAACAAATGTGCCTCTGGCCTCAGGGTGCCCGGTGGGAGGCAGCGGAAGATGGGCCAGGAAGCAGATGAAGGCTGGCCCTGGGAGTGGGGGTTGGGGCATTGCGCAGGGAATTCTGGCATCAGGTCCTGGGAGTGGTAGGCGTTTGTGGCCCACAAACTGCTCACATCATGGGAAAGATGTGACAGAAGAGGACAAGAAAGGCCTGGGAGTCAGGCCAGAGTTGTTTGAGCTCTGGTCTGAGTGTCCCAGGGTCCAGGACTGTCCTCTCAGCCAGGAACCACCCCTGCATGTCCCTGTCAGCCGCAGGTCCTTAGCACATCACCCCCTGTCCAGGCCCAGGCTTCTCCTCCGAGTTCCCTGAGTTTCTGTCTGTGCTTCTGACTCAGGAGTTTGATCAGAAGTTAATACATGGAGAAATGACAATGTAGCCCAGCAGGAGCTGAGCTGGTTACCTACAAATAAACCTGCTTTTGCTTTTTTGGGTGTCACCTGTCAGAAATTCAAGTGATGTTCTGACAGTCATACTGATTAAGATGTCAGCCGAATAGATATTTAAGTATTTGAAAAATAGAGAGAGTTTGTCAAAACCTCAGGAAGAGTCTAACAAATCCTTCCTGGGAGCCAAGGGAAATATTTTAAGATGAAATAAGAGTCATACCCAACTCAGGCACAAATTGTCCTCTTCCAAACCCGAGCCGCTTGTGCTGGGGTTCAAGGAAGGGGCCTGGGACAGGCCTCAGGACAGGGCCTGTGCCCCTCTCAGATTTTTGCCTTCCTTCCTTCTTGCCACCTCTCTCCCTCCGGACCCCAAATGGCCTCTCCCGTCTGGTCACAGCACAGTGGACCTGAGGCCACTGGGACTTGAGGTGACCACACACTGCTCCAGACTCCAGATGTCTGGCCTTCCTTCTGTAGGAGCTCCCTCTCCCCTAATCCAACCTGGGAGCTTCGGGCCCCACCTGATGCCAATTGACCAACATCCCTCCTGCAGATATTTGTTTAAAAACAACACAAGATGACAGGATGTGCATTAGCCCAAATGAGTCCCCCACCAGGTGACAGATTTCTGAGGGCTTAATACAAAGAACTGGAGAAACCAGGCGATGTGTGGTGGAGGTGGAAGTGGAGGAGGAGGGCTCTGACCAGGGCTGCCCTTGACCTCCCCAGGAGCACTGTCCCCTTCACAGAGGGCACAGACCCTCCCCCCTCTGCCTCAGGCCCCACCTCTTCTTCCTGCTTTGAGCCTCGGCTGGGGGTTCAAGGTGGGAGCAGAAGCTGGAGTTCTAGCCATGGGATTGCGCTCTCAGTTTGAAAACATATTGTGAAATATTTCAAACAAACCCATTGACACAGGGAACCGCCCCCATTCCCAACAGCTTTGAAGCCCACTGGTTCCACTTCCGGTGTCTCTCCCCCATATCTCCTCTGCTCCCCTGAGATAACTCCTTGCCTGAGTTAGGTGCTTGTCTTTCCCATTTTTGTTGGAAAAGGTTGACAGTAGTTCAAACCTTAAGACATCTGTGGTCTTGGTACTCTCCCCGAATTCTGGGTGCTGCTCACAGACCTGCTGGGAAAGTCGTTTCCGGGCGTGTCTTTTCTTCACCATTGCAGGGGTACTTTGACAGAGACCATCGTTTGCTGTTGTCACCTAAGGCATTGGTTGTGTACACAGTGAAGCTACCCCTGACCAGATGCTGAGGTCAGTAGGCCTCTCCCTGGCCTGTCTTGCTCCATCCTAAATCCTGGCTCACCCACTCAAACCTAAGCTCCGTTCACTGTCACACCTCAAACTCCAAGCCTGAAGCATGGTGTGAGCTCACAGCTGAATTGGAGGAACAGACACGGCTGTATGTTGGAATGACAGTTCTGCAAGCAGGGAACCTGGGGCCCATGCAAGCTTGTTAATGAATCTATCCCTGGTCCTACACTTCAGAAACAGGAGAAAAATGGAGTGCCTTGAACACCAGAAATCTCATAGCTGGGTGTGGTGGCACACACCTGAGGTCACAGGACCACAAATTCAAGCCCAGCCTTGGCTACCTAACAGGAATGGACAGAGGTCAGGTAACAGGTACCAAAACACAGTTAGGAGGAATAAATTCTAGTGTTCTACAGCACGTTGCAGTGACTGTGGTTCACAATAATTCGTTGTATGTTTTATAAAGAACCAGAAGAGAGCTGGTTCTCTTTGCCTATACACAGGCAAGCAGGCTATACAGAGAAATATGAGTGTTTGAGGACCAGAAATGCTCATTGGCCTTATTTGATCATTACACATTTTATACATTGTCCAGGTATCACACTGTACCCATACATATGTATAATTATGTGTCAATTAAATATTTACCAGCCAACAGCAGCAACATCATCATTGTGGTGCACATATGTGCGGTGATGATCACAGAGACCTTCTTGAAATCCCCCTGATTTTTGAAATCTCACTGGTTATGTTGAACAAAACTTCTCATCAAAATAATAGATATACCCCGTTGTGGTGGTGTGTGCCTATAGTTCCAGCACTCTGGGAGGGTGAGGCAGGAGGACTATAAGCTGAGGTCAAGCCTGTATAAAATAGTGACTCGGTGAAAGCCTGTCTCAAAATAACAAATAAGAAAAGGGCTGGGGATGTAGCTCACTGCCAATGCCCTGGGTTCAACTCACAGTATAGCCACAAAGAAAAAAGAAGAAGGAGAAGAAGAAAAGGAAGAAGAAGAAGAGGAGGAGGAGGAGGAGGAAGAAGAAGAAGAAGAAATAAAAAGATACAATTTTTCTTGGGAAGTGTCCAAAGTCATGGATATTGAGCATTATTAACTTGCTAAGAGCTGTTTTCTTCCCAGGTGTCAAGTCGGTTGCATCTGGAGAGAGTAAGCCAGAGCGGGGAGGAGAAAGTTCCAGGCCAAGGGTTTCCCAGGTCCTGGCTCCAGCCTCCCTAGCCTGCCCTCTCCAGTCTGGAGTCTGCATGTTCATCCTCAGCTGTTAGGGCCCAGGCCCCCTGGCCCGAGGCTGAGGTTGTCAGGGCAGCAGCTGCCCTGGGGAGGCCTGTGCTCTCTGAATGGAGAAAGTGATGCACCCACCCGTCTTGTCACTCCTGGGCTCCACCTGGGAGAGCCTCTCTCCCGCCAAAACTGCCAGCCTCAGCTCCTGCCCCTCCTCCATCCTCCGCCATCCTCCTGTGTCCCCAGGAGCCCTCACTTGTCACGTCTCCCAGCAGGGCCTCCAGGACAGCTTTTTCTCCTCTGAAAATGACAACAGCCTGTACTTCACCTACAGTGGCCAGTCCAACACCTTGGAGGTCCGAGACCTCACCTACCAGGTAGGGGTACACACGCCTGGGCTGGGGGGACTGCAACAGCTAAAGGGGGGAGGGAAGGTGAGCCCACCCTGCACCCCTCAGCTCCCAGCATGGACTCAATCAGTCCCCCCGGGCCGCATCCACTGGCTGCAGGCCCTGCGGCTTCCCTGTGTCACCCAGATGTGGAACAGGAGGGGAGAGGGCAGGAAAGGGCCAGAGACCCCTGCAGAAACACAAAGTGAACAGTGCAAGCCCTTGGGGAAAGTCTCTGGAACTCTTAATTTTAAATTTGGAAATAATTTTAGATTTTTGAAAAAGTTCTGAAAGCGGTACAGTATTCCTAGAAGGCCCGCACCCAGCGTCCCCTCACGGTAACATCTTCTATTCCGTGGTGTAATTATCAAAACTAAGAGATGAACAATGTGCAATACTACTAACTCAACCACAGACTTTATACATTCAGACTTCATCCATTTATATATCTCTATCTATAGTTTTTATCCCCTTTGATAAAATGTGCTGTTCCCAGAGAACATGCAAGGACAACCAGCAACCTCTGAGAGGTTCTCAGGGACACCTGCTCAGATTCAAGGTCCACTATTTCCCTATTTTTCGGGCAAACCACATGCTACCCAAAGGGGACCTGGTGGGGCTTGTGATGGTGAACTTCAGAGGCCCAAGCCTGGGTTCCAACGGGTGTGAGCTAATGAGCTGCAATATAACCTTTCTCTCTGCCACTTATTAGCTGTGTGACCTTGAGCAAGTTACTTAACTGCTCTGAGGCTCATCTATAAAACAGATTATAATTGTACCTGTGCTATAGATTTGTAACGAAGATTGAATGAGATAATAGCTATAAAATGGTTAACATAATGTCTTGCACACAGTAAACACCTCAAAGTGATTAGTAAATTACTGTCATGAAGTGCAGACAGTCCGCTTTTTTTTTCTTCTTTTTTTCTTTTTTTCCTGTTCTGCTATTGCACCTAATTTCTAGTCCTTTTGTCTCCAGACTTGGGAAAGGCAGCATCAGGTTCAGCTCAGGATGGTGGTGGTCCATCTCCATATTTGTTTTCTTTCTGTTTTTGTTTTATATTACTAGAGATTGAACCTAGGGCCTTTGCACTGAGCTACATCCTCAGCCCTTTTTACATATTTTTAAATTTTGAGACAGGGTCTTGCTAAGTCACAAAGTTGCCCAGGCTGGACTTGAACTTGCAGTCCTTCTGTCTCAGCCTCCCAGAGTACTGGGATTACAGGCATGTGCCACTATGCCCCCGGCTGCACCTCTGTGTTTGAGAGAACCTGGGTGGGGAGGGCTTGGCCTCTTGTGTATCAGCAGGGACATCCCCTTCGGAGGGAGCGCACACACGGGTAGCTGAGCAGAGCTGCTGACACGGCTCCCTGAGGAACTCTCTGCCGTCTCTCTCCCTGAAGGTAGACATGGCCTCCCAGGTGCCTTGGTTTGAGCAGCTGGCTCAGTTCAGGATCCCTTGGATGTCGAAGAAGAGTCAAGATTCTGATGAGCTGGGCATTCAGAACCTGAGCTTCCGAGTGAGAAGTGGACAGATGCTGGCCATCATTGGAAGCTCAGGTACCACTGCAGGCAGACAGGGCAGGGGCAGTGGCTTCTCTCTTCTAGGATGCAAAACGGTCCTTTGGAAAAATGAATACTTCTTGCAGAACTCTTTGCTGACTAGTAGACCGGTGTAGCACAGTGGCCTCAAGCGACAGACCTGGGCTCAAAGTCCAGCTCTTCCCTTTACAGGCTCCAGATGGTTGGTACTAGTATAAATCATGAGCTGCCTCCTGTCCACCGGAAGCTGCACCTGCAATGTCTATCTCTAGATACCCGGGACCAACTGGACCATCAGACAGCTTCAGAACTTCATGTTCTCTGCTGGGACTCCTCCAACCACAAGGGCACTCGCTCGGGTCATGGCCCATCACTGCGGGCCTCCCTCCAAAGCCAGGCGCAACCTTCAACCTCTCAAAAAGAGCCAGATTTTTGGATTGCTTCAGACACTTCCCCAGAGAAAATTTAAAATTCCAGAATGTCAGAGCTGGGAAGCATTTTTAGAGGAAGATTTTCAAATTATCTAGTCCTCAGCATTTCTTGAGTGTGCCTTTGCATACACACAAACACACACAAACACACACACACACACGCACTCATTCTCCTTCATTTGACAGATGAGGACACTACGTTGAGTTAGTCTCCTAATGACACACATTCAGTGCAGAGCTAGAACTTGAACTTGGTTTCCCGATTCTCAGAACTAAGTGTTTCCTCCTAGGACATCTTACATAGTGTTAGAGCACTTTATACCTTTTAATTAATCATTTCCAGAGGTAAAGATTACTCAATGTATTTAACATCGACTCCAAACTTTTATAGCCTTCTGATAGAGAAGTTCTGTTTATTGTCTAACCAAAGATCAAATGAATTACTGTCTGTAAATGCACTTTGTAACTGAAACAATATGCACAATCATTAAGTCCCTCCCACTCTGACCCTGATTCTGACCTAACCAAGGATTATTTTTATTTGTAACTGCTGGTGGCTTTTCTTGTTTTATCTGCCTTTTCTCCCTAAACTGAGCATCAGGGGAGACGTGGGCTCTTACTGAGAGTCATCCAGGTGAACAGTTCGTACGTGAAGCCCTGCCTGTGAGTACTCAACCTTTGATATATGATTAAGAAAAGTGAAATCCAAGAGGCTGGGCAGGAAGTACACTGAGTAATCTAATCTGGGACTTTTGACTCCGAGTGCAGTGTCATTTAGTTTCAAGCTACTTGGATGAAATTATTAAAGTGCGTAGGAAGGTTTATACATTATACTTCCTGTGACTTTTATTACACACACACACACACACACACACAAATGCTGGCCATAATTATTTTTTAAAAATCAACCCCAAGCATTTAGTGTCCTTGATAGAATCTGCAATGCTGGAAGTGTTTTCCAGTTAATGAATTTGGTGATAGGGAGATGCCAGCTATTCTATCAAGGTCTTGAGTGTCCGTAGGTATTTTAACCTAGTTTATCGAGGTTCTCTCCAAAAGCACCAGGCACCTTCCATTGGAAAGGCTGCCCACATGTCTAACAAAGTTTTGCTTAGAAATAGGGTCTTCCTGCTCTCTGACCAGGAATCTCAATGACCATGTGAACATTGGTGAAATCTCCTCACTCCTAGACCCTGAAGCCAATGTCCCAGGCTGAACAGGGAGCAGGCCTGGGTCCCTCTCTCTGGCTCCTCTCCCATTTGCTCCACCTAAATTCTCAGGGGTCCTAAATGAGGTGCACCTGGGAGGCAGCGGGCGGGCCCCTTCCACTCTGCACCTCTAGGGAGTGAGCAGGAGGATCACATTGGGCGGGACTTGCCACATGTTTTATATTAGCACTTGTTTGAAAACAACTTGAAAATTTTTCCTTCCAAAAGGAATATACAATAAGGAAATCCAAATCCCACCCAGGTAACTGGACAGGGGTGATTTTCAGCTCCACTATAGGAAGGGGTTTCCAAGTCAGAGCCCAGTTTGCATTCACAGTTCAAATAGCTGTCAAGGGATGAGTCTCACTGAGTGCTCCAATCTGACGCTTAGTTCCCCAAATCAATAGCAACTGGTACGGCATTCAGAAGTAGACGGTATTGAGGGCAGGAGGTCTTTCTTTTAAGAGAGAATAAAAAGAGCTACTGATAAAAATAAGAGAGAAGTGTGGAGATACCTTCAGAACCTGTGTAAACACTGCTTTAAAATCATTTCCACATCTATTACTTCCCTATTATTTTTCCCCTTTATTTCTCAAAATAGGTTCTGGTTTTGCATTTTTAAGATACCCTATGAATGTTCCCAGTTAGTCCTTCCCACAGAGCCAGCTTCTGAGCCAGACGACAATGAATGATGACACATCGCTGGCATGTTCGCCAGGCAGAAACAGTTCCACTTCACGGAGCAATTAACCCCAGCCTTGCTTGAGAGAAAGAACATCCATAGCAGTGGGAGGGAACAGAGGCTCCAGGTGCAGGCAGGCCTGTGGCAGTTGGGATTCTCCTGTCACTCAGCTAGTGGTTGACCTGGCCTGAACCCCAGTGCCAAGGTGTCCCAACCTTCCAAGGATGCACAAATTGGCTTCAGACAAAAAGCCTGAGGTTTTATGTCCCGGGCCTGCCACACTTGGGCCAAGGAGCAGTGCCATGTTCCCTGGGGCTTGGTCACTTCAGCAAGGATGGAGCAGGCGAAGGAGCAGGCCAGTGTGGGGGAGAGCAGCTTCCCGCTGGCCCCTGCAGCTCAGCCCTCAGCAGTGACTCTGGTCCCCCTGCAGGCTGTGGGAGAGCCTCACTGCTAGATGTGATCACTGGCCGAGACCACGGTGGCCGGATGAGGTCAGGCCAAGTCTGGATCAACGGGAAGCCCTGCACACCTCAGCTGGTGAGGAAATGCGTGGCTCACGTTCGCCAGGACGACCAGCTGCTCCCTCACCTCACCGTCCGAGAGACCCTGACCTTCATTGCCCAGATGCGCCTCCCCAGAACCTTCTCCCAGGCCCAGCGCAACCAAAGGGTAACTCAACCCAGTGGCGAGGCACGGGGTCTAAGAAGTCACCACATCCATACCCTCTGTCCTCTGGACCCAGCCCAGGTGGAGGCCAAGCAGCCTGGCTTGCCATCCACCTGCCGAAAAGAGTCAGCCCTGTGCTCACCCCATTTGGCCAACTGGGCCTGGTGGCGGACACCTTTCATCCCAGCATTCTGGGAGGCTTAGGCAGGGGGGATCTGCAAGTTCAAGCCCAGCCTGGGCAACTTAGTAGAGAGACCCTGTCTCAAATTTTAAAAAGGATTGGGAGGTAGGTGAGTGTGAAGTCTCTGGGTTCAGTTTCCTGTAACACACACACACACACACACACACACACACACAGCCATCTCAGCCTGAGCCCGTTCCCTCTACAGCATCTGTCAAATGTACCATGGGTTTTACGTGTTTATTTGCGAGCCTGTCTTCTGGTCCTCCACGTGGGCACGGAGCCCAACTGTCTGGCCCCTAACACAGGGCCCGTGAGTGGCACAGTGACCAGAAGCTGGGGACAGAGGCGGGAGGGACGCTGCAGCACGCGGACAGGGTTGTGGAGCGGCCTCCGCCCCGCTAAGACCCGGCAGAGGAGCAGGTCTCTGAGCTCCGAGTCCAGGGTGAGCAGCCGGAGGCCTTGACGCCCGCTCCCACGGCAGGTGGAAGAAGTGATCGCGGAACTGCGGCTGCGGCAGTGCGCGGACACGCGCGTGGGCAACCATCATGTGCGAGGGGTGTCCGGGGGCGAGCGCCGGCGTGTTAGCATCGGGGTGCAGCTCCTGTGGAACCCAGGTGAGCACCTGCAACTGGCGGAGGGGGGAGAGACCGCGTCCTGGGTGCAGCCGATCAACCCCTCTTCTCTGTGGCCAGGAATCCTCATCCTGGACGAGCCCACCTCGGGGCTGGACAGCTTCACGGCCCACAACCTGGTGAAGACCTTGTCCCGGCTGGCCAGGGGCAACAGACTGGTGCTCATCTCCCTGCACCAGCCCCGGTCCGACATCTTCAGGCTGTTTGACCTGGTCCTCCTCATGACCTTGGGCACCACCGTCTACCTGGGCCCCGCGCAGCACATGGTCCAGTATTTCACGGCCATTGGCCACCCTTGTCCCCGCTACAGCAACCCTGCGGACTTCTACGGTGAGGCAGCAAGGCTGGGTGGTGGGGGACCCGGGACACAGGGTCAGACAGGTGCTGAAAAGATTCAGGAGCAAAACTGGCAGGTGTCAGGGGAAGAGAAGGAGGAGAGGTAATGGGCAGAATGGGTGGAGGACAGAGTTGGCCAAGGATCGAATGCTGGAAAGGACCTGAGAAAAAGCAGCTGTGACAGCCATCCCTCCGTGCAGGGTGGGAGCTGAGCTGAGGGCAGAACTGGGGAATCTGAAGACAGTGGCTCCGGCCCTACGGAGCCAGGGAGGCTGCTGTGCAGCTGGGTGCAGGGCCCAGGGCCTTGGTGAGTGGTCTCTAGATGTGGAAATTGCTCTGCTGGCCCAGACTTGCCTTTCTCTTGGGTCCTGAGCACTCAGGATTTTACAGCCAGGTAGCATGAATGAGCCGCTTCCTTCCTTCTTGGGGAGCAGTGGCCTTTTGGGGGCCCTTGCCCTGGGAGCACCCCAAAGTGCTGAGGCATAACCTGGCTGCAGGACAAATGGCATAGTGGTGCCAGGACTGGGGGAAGCAGCAGCAGTGGCTGTTCCCGCGGGCCAGCTGGACCCCAGGTTCCTCCCAGGATGGCAAAGTGTAGCAGGGAGCTCACCACGTAACTTAATGACAGGGACCATTTTCTTGAGGCATTCACTAGGGCCCAGAGTACCAGGCCCCTGTGGCTCTCCTGTTTGACCCTCACTCCCTGGAAGAACTCAACCCCTTGCCTGTGGTGACACAGCTGTCAGGCACAGAACTGAGACTCCCTGTGTGTGCCTGGCTGGGGCCTTCACTTCTAACAACCTTAACCCTAACTAACCGTGCCGCCCGTATCCCTCCCTGACAGGGGCACTCTCCCGCCCCGACCTGTCTGTGCACTCACACCTTCAGTGAACTCAGTGCTCCTCCCTCCTTGTGCTCAGGTGGCTTCCTGGCTTCTCGACAGCCTGTCATCCCCAGATGAACCATCCTCAGATAAGGGAGCAGAGGGTACCTGCTAATGTGGCCACTGTGGAAAATTTGAAGCACACCTAGAGAAGTCACATGCCCAGAGCAGGCTTGAAAACCTTCTTTGCTTTTATCTTGTTTTATGTTGGGGGCAATGGGGACCCCTGTCCTTGCCTGCAAGTCCTGGGGCAGGTGTCCCTTGCCAGTCTGGGGCACAGAGCCTACAGGGCCTGAGGTGCCCAGCAAGTCTGGTGTCTTGTGTCCCAAAAGAGCACATCGTAGTTCCTGAGACCCCTCCTAGACATGACCTTGGCTTGAGATGTGTGGTGGAAATGGAGAAGGGGGGAGGGGGGTGACAAAGACCCCCAGCTATGCTGAGGCTGGGAGGAAAGAATGGAGAGAGGCATGAGGTGTGACTGGCCTGGAACCAGATCAGCAGAGGAGGGCCCTGCTGTGAGTGCTGGAGTTTGCCTTGCTGGCATTGCTGGGGCCTTGGAGGTTGAAGGTCAAGCACTGTGGGAGAAGGGCTGCAGTAAGGGGCTCCCTGGTGCAGGGGGTCATTTCCTGGGTTGCAGAAGGTGGCTCTCCAATGGGCCTGGCTCCTCAACTAGGTGGCCTGACTCCCTCCCTGGGGCCGAGCAGCTGACCAAAGGCAGTAAGAACTCTCTGTGTACTTGGCTGGCCCCTGGCTCCCTTCAACCAAACCCAGTCCTTCCATGGGCTGGCTGCTTGGGAAGCCAGATTATAAACTGACAGTGAGAAGGAGATGCATCAGGAATCCCCACTTTCCCATTCTTCCTCCTCTCCCACCATTCCTCCAGCCTACCTTCTTCTCCTGAGCAGGCTCTATGAGGCTGAGCCCTCATCAGAAACTTCCTGGACAGCCTGGAGTCAGGGCCAGCACATAACTGTGATGGGGCCTCTGGCCCTGGAGGCTCCTACTCCCCCTGGGTTATCTCCCTACTAGGTTCCGGGACTGGGCCAGGGTTCAGTCTCAGTGTTCAAGCCTGGCAGCCTGGAGGTCTCTGTCTCTCTCCGTTCTGGCCATTACTTCATGGGTCCTTCTCAGAGAGTGGGAGGCATGTCATGGAGTCCCCAGGGCTGACAGTGCCAGGAACTGGGTCACCCATGGCCTTGCCTCTTCTCCTTGCAGTGGACTTGACCAGCATCGACAGGCGCAGCCAAGAGCAGGAAGTGGCCACCAGGGAGAAGGCTCAGTCCCTTGCGGCCTTGTTTCAAGAAAAAGTGCATGAGTGTGATGACTTTCTGTGGAACCCGGAGGCGAAGGAGCTCAATGTGGGCTCCTATGTGGCCAGGTACAAGGGGCAGGTGGCTCAGGGTGCAGTGCTCCCTCCAGCAAGGCGCTGGCCTGACCCACCACACACTGTCTCTCACAGCCCAACCCTCCTGTGTGACAACAACTGCCAGACTCACAGAGAGCCGCCCTGCCAGACTGCCACAGAGCCACCCGGTGTGGTACAGCAATTTGTCACCTTGACCCGGTAATTGTCTTTCACTGTGTCTCCGGCCCCCAAAAGTCTCTGTCAACTTAAGCCCTTTCTATCTAAAGTGAATTTGGGGGGAGGAAGCAAGAGGTAGAATTACTAGAGAAACAGCATTTTCAGGACCATTTCTAGCCCTCCTGTGATGCATTGTTACTTTTATTCTCTGAACAAAATTAAAATAGCCTTACTGGAACTACCATAAGGTCACTGTGAAAAAATGCAGATAGAACAGGAGAATCTAGGCCGGAAACAGAAGCACTCAGAGAAAGCCAGGCCCACACGCTCTGTGTCTTTCTACACGTTCCCATGTACAAAAACATTTGAATTCACAGATGGAATCGAACTCTGTGTAATGTTCCATGGCAGCTTTTTCTCACTTAGAATAGCACCTCTGCCTGTCACCTAGTTAGATCCTCCTCAGCCTTCAGGGTAGTTCGACTATGACTTGTGAGGCTCCTGGGCATGGTTAGGTTATTTTCAGACTTTTACTGTCACAAGTAACACTACAGAAAACATCTCCATACATCATTATGGACTGATTGATTTTTCCCACAGCGTAATTTCTGTCAGTAAAATTACCAGGCTGTTCCTTGATGAGGAAAGGAATAATCCTGAGTGTAGGACTGACTGTGGGACAGATCTTTCTGTCAGTTTTCTCATTTAAGCCTCATGGAAGCTCCGTGAGTGCATATTCCTATCTCCATGACCGAAATGATCCTTCCAGAGATTACATGACATTCCCAAGGTCACAAGGGGTATGTTTTTCCCCTGACATTTCTTTCTTTTTATTCTTTTAAAAATTCTTTATATTATATTTATATATGTATATTTTTTATTCTTTATATTATATTTTTAATTCTTTTTTATTCTTTATTTTTTTCTCTTAAGTTCTTTTATTTGTACATTTTAGGTACACAATACATTTACTTTTATTGTTGGGAACTTGTATCTTTACATGATGCATCTTTTTTTTTCCCCCGGTACTGGGGCTCGAACTCGGGTCCTTGTGCTTGCGCAGCAGGCGGTGAAACTACTGAGCTAAATCCCCGGCCCTACATGATGTATCTTGGTTCTTATTTTTTCCCCATTCCATGTCCTCCCTTCAACCCCTCCACCCCTCCCTATTTCCAAAGGCTTTGTTTTTTTCCTTTTATTTCTTATCTCATCTTTTTTCCTTTCCCTTCTTTCCTTTCCCCTCCCCCTCCTACTTCCCTGCCCCTTTGGACCCTTTCTTTCTATTTCACATTATCAATTATTCATTTTAATCCTATTTACACTTTCTGTTTCTCATACCAGAGAAACTATTTGATATTCACACATGTGTGTCCTACTTATTTCACTTAAGAGTATCGCCTCAATGTGCATCCATTTAGCTATAAATGTCTCTAATTTCTCATTGTTTATGGCTGAGTAGGACTTCATTTTATTTTTAAAAAGCTACATTTTCTTTATCCAGTCTCCAGTTGATGGGCACTTGGTCTGTTTCCAAGCTTTAGCTATTACAAACTCTGCCGCTATAAACATGGGTGCACATATATCGCTGTGGTATGATTCTTTTAATTCTTTTGGGAAGATACTCAGCAGAGGAATAGCTGGGTCAAATGGGACCTCTAATCCTAGTTCTTTGAGGTATCTCCATACTGATTTCCACAGTGGTTGCACCAATCTGCCCTCCCACCAACAATGGAGAAGGGTTCCTTTCTCCCCACACCCCCGCCAACATCTGTTATTGGTTGATTTCTTGATAGCAGCCATTCTTTCTGGGGTGAGGTGGAATCTCAGTGTTGTTTTCATCTGCATCTCTCAAATGACCAGTGATGTTGAACATTTTTTCATATGTTTATTTGCTGCTTTTACTTCTTTGTCTGAGAAATGTCTGTTCATTTTAGATGCCCATTTTTGAATTGGGTCTTTAAATTTGGGGGTTTGACTTTTTAAAGTTCTTTATGTATTCTAGATAGTAGACCTTTGTCTGAGAACCAGCTAGTAGCAACTGGTAAAAATGTTTTCCCACCTTGTAGGTTGTCTCTTAGCTCTGTTGGTGGTTTTTTTTTTTTTGGTACCAGGGATCAAACTCGGGTCCTTAGCTTGCGAGGCAGGTGGTGGAACCACTGAGCTAAATCCCCAGCCCTGTTGGTGGTTTCTCTTGCAGTGCAGAAGCTTTTTTTGTTTTTGTTTTTGGTTTTTTGGTACCGGGGATCGAACTTGGGTCCTTGCACTTGCGCAGCAGGCGGCAAAACCACTGAGCTAAATCCCCGGCCATGCAGAAGCTTTTTAATAAGATGAGATCCCAGTTGTTGATTCTTTGTGTTAGTTCCCATGCCACTGAGCTTTTGTTCATAAAGTCTTTTCCTATGCCGAAGTTCTACCTAACTTATCTTCCAGCAAGTTTAGTGTTTCTGTCTTAATGTTTAGATCTTTAATCCAGTTTAATTTTAGTTTAGTGCATGGTGATAGGTATGGGTCTAGTTTTAATCTTTGGCAGGTTGAAATCCAGTTTTGCCAACACCATTTATTAAAGAGGCTATCTTTCCTCCAGTGAGGGTGTTTGGCCCCTTTGTCAAAGATGAGGTAGCTGAGCATGTCTGCAGTTGTTTCTGCATCTTCTAATCTATTCCACTGATCCTCAGGTCTTTTCTTTGCCAGTACTGTGCTGTTTTTATCACAGTGGGTTTGTAATATAGTTTCAAGTTGGAGATTGTGATATCCCCTGTCATGCCTCTGTTGCCTAGAATGGCTTTTGCTATTCTAGGTCTCTCAGGGTTCCAAATAAATTTTTGGATTGTTTTCTCTAGTTCTATGAAATATACTCTTGGAATTTCAATCAGGATTGCATTAAATCTATATAGCAGTTTTGGAAGTGTGGCCATTTCACTATATTGGTTCTTCCTACCCAGGAACAAGGAATGTCTTTCCATTTTCTTATATCCTCTTTGATCTCTTTTTTCAGAGTGCTGTAGTTTTCAGTGTAGAGGTCTTTTGCTTCCTTCATTAGATTGATTCCTAGATATTTCATTTTTGGGGGGTGCTATTTTTATTCTTTTTTTAAGTCGTCAGATTTCCAATGACTTCCGAGATCTGCCCACCCTCCTCATTCACGGGACAGAGGCCTGCTTAATGTCTCTGATCATCGGGTTCCTCTACTATGGCCATGAGGACACCAAGCTCTCCATCAAGGACACAGCAGCCCTCTTGTTCATGATTGGTGCGCTCATCCCTTTCAACGTGATCCTAGATGTCATCTCCAAATGTGAGTGTCACCCACTCTGGGGCAGGCAGACCCGGGTGTCGGCTGGCAGAGACTGGCCTCTGTGCTCTTCTGATTATCTGGCGAATACAGCTTTGCAGAAGAACTTCATTGTGACTATGTAATAAAAGACAGGAATTGTTTCTAAAGTTGAATATGATAGATTAATATAATATACAAACGAAAGTTTTAGCCATTGCTATCCTATGAGGATCTCTGCCTGATGGCAATGTACAGGGCATGGATCTGCCACACCTGAGGACCCTCCCTGAACACTTGAGCCAGGATCACTTTACTGTGCCTGTTTGAAGAAAAATAATGTAAGAAATGTAGGCAGTAAAACTACTTTTTTTTTATACTACTTTTAATGATATTAAGAGAGACGCAAAATCAGAAATGCAGTAGATGACTTCTCACTCTTCCACCTCACCCGGGCCACAGGTCACTTGGAGCGGGCGATGCTGTACTCTGAACTGGAAGACGGGCTCTACACCACTGGTCCATATTACTTTGCCAAGGTGACTGGTCAGAGGTGACAGCAAATGTAGGGCCAAGAGAGCTGCACCAAATTGTACAGATGCCACAGGAAGGAGTTTTCCCGAACCTCAGGGCTATGCATTCCCTGAGATTGCAGAGACCAGCTTCTCTTGCGGGGGAGGGTCAAAGACTTGCAGGTTTTAAAAAATTCACCAGAAGGCTAGAAATGTGGATCAGGAATGATACTCTTCTGGTCAGCAGGAACCTGAAAAGGAAGCTGTGGGAAACCCTTAGCACCCTTGGCCTCTCCGGAGCCCTGGAGCAGGTTGGTCAGGCAGTTGTTGCCATGAGCTCAGAGAGGTTATATAGCTCTCCCAAGGACACACAGCTACTAGGTCTGGGCAGGAGGAGTGAAGACTTGAAACCAGATCTTACGCGAGCAGATAGCGCCAGCCTGTGTGGGGGGAAACGACTCTGAACTGCCCTGTGGGGGGAAGTCAGGGGTGAGCTCAGGCTGTGTCCCGTGCATCCCCTTTAGCAGCCTCAGTGCCAGGAGGGAAGGCTGGCATCAGGAGAGGGGTAAATGCCAGTGTTTCACATTTGAAAATAATGGCAGGAACAAAGGCGTTGGCTCCAAGCCTTGCCTGGGCTGTCCTTTGCAGATCCTCGGGGAGCTGCCGGAGCACTGCGCCTACGTCATCATCTACGGGATGCCCACCTACTGGCTGGCCAACCTGGAGCCGGCCTTCCTGCCCTTCCTGCTGCACTTCCTGCTGGTGTGGCTGGTCGTCTTCTGCTGCAGGGCCATGGCCCTGGCCACTGCCGCCCTGCTACCCACCTTCCACATATCATCCTTCTTCTGCTACGCCCTCTACAACTCCTTCTACATCACTGGGGGCTTCATGATCAACTTGAAGAACCTGTGGGCAGGTGAGGTGTCTGCCCCTGCCTGCCCAGCCTCTCTAGCTCTCACAGTGGGTAAAGCCTGCTTCTGTCAGGCCCCTCTCAAGGCCAGCAGAGATGCCTTGGCCAGCTGTCCTGCAGGGCATGGCAGTGCGTCCAGTAGAGGAGACAGGCAACACCCAGAAGCTACCACGGGTCCCTCTCTCTCCTCATCACCAGTGGGCCAGGTCATTTCTACCTCCTGAGTCTTCCTTAGATGTCTTCTCAGTTCCATCCGTGACTGGGCTCTGGGCCAGCACAGTAGTCTGGCCTGTGTGACTTTGGTCCTTCTCAGAAGTCATGTGCGCAGAATGAGCTTCCTCAGGGGTGAACTTGTGCTGCTGGCTCCCTGCTGCCTCCCCCGGCTCTCGTGACACCCCCAGCACACTCCGCCCAATGTCCACCTCGGGGCCTGTCCCACCTCTTCTCTAAGAAAAGCCATTCCCCACCTTCCCTGGCTCTTTTGTCAGCCCTTTGCTGACAGCCAGGAGGACTCAGGGCTTCCTCCTCCTCTCCAAACCCTGATGCTCAGACTCTGCCGTCTCTAAGCTGGGCTGCTGGGTGCTCTGGGAAGCTGGGCACATGGGGACACCTAGTTAAGTGGCCCTCTAGAGTTGTATGGATCCTACATGTGGGTCACCTGCAGCTCCTCCGCCTCCTCAGCTCCAATCCATGTCCCCAGCAGCCCCCTGCACAGTTGCTCCTTCCTCCTCTCTCGCCTCCTGGCCCCTCGCTGGGAGCATGTCACAGAGAGCAGGTGGCGCCTCATGCAGGCATTGGGACTGTGGGGCTGACCTGGCTCTTGATGTCTCCAGTGCCTATGTGGATCTCCAAGATGTCTTTCCTGCAGTGGTGCTTCGCAGGGCTGATGCAGATCCAGTTTAATGGGCGCCTTTATACTATGCAGGTTGGAAACATCACATTCCTAGTCCCAGGAGATGAAGTAAGTAGTGAGGGCCTCGGATTCTAAATTAACGGGCAAATAACTGAACATCTTGATGGGCTCATTGAATGTTGGTGTTTCCAGGTGGTCAATGATATGGACCTGAACTCTCAACCTCTCTATGCCATCTACCTCATCCTCATCAGCATCGGCAGTGGTTTCCTGATTCTGTACTATGTCTCCTTAAGGTTCATCAAGCAGAAGCCCAGTCAAGACTGGTGATTCATGCCCAGACTCTTGCTCACTGGTGGGGCCTCTGAGCAGACCCTTCGACCGCACTCTTCCTCCCAAGGAGCTCCATGGGACAATGAGAGCACAGATGCTCAGCTACATCTGGCCCCAGTGCTGCAGTGGCACAGGTCAGCCACAGGATGGCAGTAGAATAAAGATAGTTGAAAGGATTTCTGTTCCCTGGCCAGAGCGAGAAAACCCATACTTGGTGGAACCTACAATGTTGCTAATTTATTTCCTTTGGATGTAACTTTATACAGGCAAGTCAGTGTAGGATGGGAGCAAATCAGGTATGAACGGAGTAGCTTGGGTCTGCAGGAATCGCTAGAACCCAGAGAAAATGGTAACAAGAGCAAATGTTTAGCCTCATCTCCATCGTCCCCATACTCTTGTTTAGCCACTCTAGTGCCCTAAAACATTCCAGTGAAATGCCATCTCTTCTTTGTGTGTGGGCTCCAAAAATCAAAGTGAACAATTAAAAATTGATTGAGCACCTACTCTGTGTCAGGTAAACAGATGCTGCCGTTCTCAGTACAACCCTTGGAGGTAAGTGGTGTCCCATTTTGCAGGTGAGGACATTGAGACACAGACAAATTCAGCTTGCCATGGGTGGCAGAGTCACATGGGGTTCAAAAGGGTTTGAGGCCTGTAGGAGCCTGGGGGCAGGAGCCAAAGCCTGAGGCACTAAGCCTTGCAGTCCAGAAGAGGTTCTCAGAGGCTGCGCCGGCTCAGCCAGGCCTCACAGTTGCCTCTCAGTGGTCCTGGCTGGGACAGTGGCCAGAGCACGGGGTGCTGCAGCCCCGGATCACCTGCTTCAGGCCTGAGTGACCCAAAACAGGTGCACCTAGAGCAGGGTGGGTTCTGTTCCCAAAAGAAAATGAGAGTCCGGAACCCAAAGAAGTGGGAAGGTGAGCGAGTGGGAGGGATGGGGCCTGTGTTCTCCGCAGTCTCTTTGGCCCTTTCGACTTCAAATATGATCCCTGCTCCGGGACCCGGGGCTGGGGCTGGGGAGACAGGGGGAAGGAGTTTCAGGCCCTACCCAACCCACTGAATCCAAACGATGATTCTCTCGTGATTTGTATGCAGGTTTGACTTTGAAAAGCTGTGCCTTAGCACACTGTTCCTCAGTAGCCCTCCTGTCCCACAGGGAACTTACACGGTTTCATTGCTATCACCCCACTCGAGGGTCACTGAGTGTCCGACAGTGGTGTCTCTCATCGGGATGGGAATCAAGTGTTGCACTAGTTGTCATGTCTCTTTGGTTTCCTTCAATCTGTAACAGTTCCTCGACTTTCCTTGACTTGACACACAAAGATTTTATAGGATCTCTCTCGATTTCAGTTTATCTGATGTTGTTTCACGATTGAATCGAGGCCATTGCAGTTTGGCAGGAAAGTCACCAAAATGACTCTGGTCCTTCTCAGGGCATCCTATCAAGTGGCACATGCTTTCCTTTTGTCCTCTGGTAATGATGTCCTCTTTGAGCCCTTGATTGAAGGTATGTCTGCCATGCTTCTCTATAGTGAAGTTACAGTTTGCTCTACTTTTGTACATAATAAGCATTTTGCAGATAGGCAATTATAAGGGAACTATAAATTACATATTCCTCATCCAGATTTCCATTCATTCATTTTTTATTGCTCCCAATATAGGTGTTTGACTTCCTATTTGATTCAAGGTGTCAAAATCCTTTGCTCTCATTAACTTTTTTTTTTCTGAGACAAAGTCTATGTAGTCTAGACTGGCCTTGAACTCATGATTCTGTCTTAGTCTCTCAAGTGTCAGGATTACAAGTGTGTGCCACCACTCCTGAATACTGCTGTGTGTGTGTGTGTGTATGTGTTACTGGGGAGCAAATCTAGGGCCCTCACATGGAGCTACATCCCCAGCCCTTTAAAAATTTTTTTTTATTTTCAGACAGGGTCTGGCTAAACTGCCCAAGCTGGGCTTGGACTCACAGTCTTACCGTCTCATCCTTCTGAGTGCTGGGATTATAGCTATGCACCACCACACCTGGTTTACTGCCATTCATTTTTTTTTGTATATCCTTTTATTGGTACATTTTAGGTATACAATATAATGTCATTCATCATTGGAAATTTGCACCTTTACATAGTCTCTCTTGGTTCTTATTTTTTCCCCTTCCTCTGCCCTCCCTTCAACCCCTCCATCCCTCCCTATTTACAAAGACTTTGTTTCCTTTTTTTCATTTTCTCATATTAATTCCATTCCCTTCTTTCCTTTCCCCTACCCCTCCCACTTCCCCTTCCCCTTTGCCACTT